GTAGAAGGGAGTTGCCAGCTGAGCCTGGCCTGGTCTTGCCGAGTGACCCGTGCCCGCACTGTGTGCCCCCTGGCAGTCACTCTGCAGGGTGTGGACGGGTCCTTTCAGTCTGGAAATCTCTCTCTCGATGATGGAACATTTCTAGACCCTCACCTTTTCCTTCCTCCTCAACCATCCACAGAATTTATTTTCTGACACAGCAATAAGATAACAGATATTAAAAGGAAATACAAAATTTTCCTTGTGAGTATTTGGTGTCAAGTTCTTTCTCATTCTCTTTTTCGAAAGGTAGTAAAGGGCAATATAAACCACATTAATAAGATGCTTCAGTATAATCATCACCATGAGGCGTTACTTTCTTATTTGGAAATAATATGCTCAGAAGTGACATGACATGGATGACTTCTGAGAAAAGTCAGTATTAGGGGCCTATCATGTGATGACAAAGTCCTTCAGATTCTCGGGCCCGGCACAGTGGCGCAGTGGTTAAGGTCCTCGCCTTGCACGCCCGGGATCCCATATGGGCGCCAGTTCTATCCCGGCGGCCCCGCTTCCCTTCCAGCTCCCTGCTTGTGGCCTGGCAAAGCAGTCGAGGACGGCCCAAAGCTTTGGGACCCTGTACCCGCGTGGGAGACCCGGAAGAGGCTCCTGGCTTCGGATAGGCATAGCATCGGCCGTTGCACTCACTTAGGGAGTGAATCATTGGACGGAAGATCTTCCTCTCTGTCTCTCCTCTCTGTATATCCGCCTTTCCAATAAAAAAATAAAATAAATCTTTAAAAAAAAAAAGTCCTTCAGATTCTCATGTTTCCTCTCCTTGTGACTTTATCTGCAACTTTGCCTTCCATCTCTTCCACTAAAGCTTGACTTTCTGTTACCATGTCAGCTCGTGCGAGTTCTTGCCGCTGTCCTGCCTGCTGACTTTATAGCCTCCTGTCCTTCTGCCCGGCTGTCCTGCTGGGCGCTTGCTTCTCCTCATCTCTGTCTTTCGCTCCCCCACCTTGGTGACGTTTCTGTGATGCCCATGATCTTGGCATGTCAGTTGGCTGGGCAGAGCCAGTCTCCGTGGTGTGGTACACCGGCGAGAAGTGTACCGCCTGTCACTGCTCACAGGAGGGGTTCAGTGTGGATCTGTAATGGGGATCCCAGTTTTCAGTGTCCCCCCATCTTGAAAGCTGACTGCTACTGTTCTCCCTCCAGGCCGCCTGGGCGTGCTCCTTCCCCGTTCTGTAGGTAGTTGTGGGGGAAGCAGACAGAGCATATTTCTTCTGTCCCGTTTCTCCTTGGCACCTCTGTCCTGTACTTCATCTAACTAAACTGTAGCCCAACTTCAGGGTTACCACGTGTCCAGTGTAAGTCCTCGGCTTGGAGTGCCGGTGCTGTGGGAGCAGAATGGCTTGGGCCCGATGTCCCCGCCGCCCAGCTTGTGTCCGAGCAGCTTTGTAGTCAAAAAGCCTACAAACTCAGGTCTGGGTCTGGCTACCTCATCTGGTCATGGGTGTAAGTGTTTACAGGTAGATGGGAAGAGCTCATAGCTCTGGGGTGTAGCTTGATTGGGTGAAAGAGGCTCCCACCAGACCCCTTCACAGGAGGCCTGACAGCCCACCTGCTGCCCCCGTGATGGGATTGGCAAGCAGCACTTCATGAACCTTGGAAGCAAGCAGAAAGATCCAGCTGGAAGAGCCTCCACTGCTCTGCCAGCCCCTGGGTTCCCCTAGGCCTCCCATTCTGTCCAGCCAATCCATCGGAGACCCTCTGTTCCCATCGTAGCTCCCTGGTTCTAAGGGGCAGGCAGCTGACTTTCCCACTCAGGTTTGCGTGCTCCTCTGTGGCGGACTCACCTGCCCTTTGTGCCCACACCTTTCTCAAACACTCTGAGCTTTCCGGAGGTGCACTCCTCAGCCTTATGGCCCCTCCCCTTTCCCCACTGTAACCAATTGCAGCCCTCTGCCACTTGTCATTGGCCTTCTCATCTCATGCTCAGTTGGAAAGGAGCATACACATGGACCTCTAGGCGCCTGGCTCTTGGTCTCTGTGCCCAGCAGTCTGTGCCCAGGCAGGAGAGCGCTTTATGTGGCTTTTGTGTAAGCTGGCGCAGGCTATAGGGGTCTCTGCTCCAAGGGCTCTGGCCTCTGGTTCTGTGGTGGCAGAGTCCCCTGCGCCAGCACTGGAAGGAGCTTGGTTGGGTTTTGGCATGAGGGCAGCATGCATGATAGGTCAGGATGTGGGCTGGATCTTGGTGGCAGTCAGTGACCCTGCAGAGCTGTGGCAGGGGTGGGTGAGTGTCAGAGCCAGGCCAGGGAAAGGCAGACCTTGCCCAGGGGTTGTCTCCCTGATGTGAGGCGTTTGGGAGGTTTCAGTCTTTGAGTTTGACGCTGAGCCAGCTCTTCTCTGCCTGTGTCTTTAGCTCTGCCCCCTCCCAGCTGTCAGTCAAGGGCAGGACTCTAATGAGCCGAGAGCCAGTTGTGCCCGTGTCCCTGCTGTGTGGCTTCGTGGTAGAGGGTCTCAGGCTGCCGGATTGGGGCCGGCTGGAGAACGCTGTTCTTGCTGTCTGCTGTGCCCCCGACTGTGCTCCCTGTCGGGATTCAGATACGGCATAAGGTGGGCAATGGCGCCAACCTGGTAGGCATTAAAACCCAGCTTTCCCACAGTGTGTCCTTTCTGCTTTCTCATTCTCCTTTAAACAGGAGCTCTCTCTCTGCAAGGACTCAGGTTTAAAATCTGTGAAATGGGCTTCACAGCACCCTCCCCTGACAGCCTCCCATGCTCAGTAGAGAACGTGCCCAGTGTCCTGCACACAGCAGCTGGACAGTGGCCGTCAGCGGGTTTTCCCTGTCCCTTGTTGCATGATGTGCCTGAATGGTGGAATCCGGGGCTGGTGTCATGGGTCAGTTGTGAAGCTGCAGCTGGGGATGCTGGCATTCTAAATGAGCATTGGTTCGAGTCCTGGCTGCTGCACGTCTGGTCCAGCTCCCTGTTCCATCAGCGCTTGTGTCCTTGCCACCTACAAGGGTGACCCTGATGGAGGTCCAGGCTCTCGGTTCCTGGCTGCAGGGGTTTTTTGGGGGAATAAATCAGTGGATAGAAGATCTCTCTTTCTCTGTCTCTGTAACTCTGCCACTTTGCCTTTCGAAGAAATAAATCTTAAAAAGAAGGAAATGTCCCCTGGTCTCTGCTCTGGGTGTGAACCAGCCAACGGGAGAGCTGAGCATTGGGGTGTGGGAGCCCTGGCCCTCCCAACCAAGGGACAGAGCCCTGCAGGGGCCCAGGCGCAGAAAAAGAATGTGCCCTGATGGCGGCATGACTCAGAGCGTTCGAGGCATGGCCGTTCCCTTTCTTGGGGGACTGATTCCCGAAGCCAGCCTCCCCACACCATCCCTGGTTGGATGCAGAGGGGCTCCGGGAGGGCAGCAGTGACTGCCAGAAGCAGGAAGTGGCTAAGGGCCTCCGTCTACTTCGGGAGGAGGGGAGGCAGAATTTTCCTTACAACAGAGGCAGAAAGTCAGCGAGATTGCACCTGTTCAGGAGGGAGATCGGAGCTCCTTCAGGGTGCCGCAGAACGAGAACTGGGCTTTAAGACGGCCCCCTCCCCGAGTCAGTGTGCGACACTCTGGTCCCAGGTTACTCCAGGGCTGGCATCTCACACTGCTTTGTGCTCAAATCCAATCACAGGTGACACACAGTGAGGTACAGGAAGGGGATCCCCCACTCACCTTCTTTTACCTGTTGACGCTAAAGCTCCATCAGGTGCCTGTCAAAAAGAGACCCTGTACAGGCTTCCAAAGTGGCCTTTCTAAGGACCATCATCTTAACTGCAATCCAGTGAAAATTAGAAATTTGTAAGAGGAGGCTGACTCCATTATCCCTCCCTGCCCCCAAGTCTTGGCTCGAAGAAGAAATAAGAACACTTGTAAACAGAAAGAAATTAAAGGAGGATGTTTGCTGCCGACTCTCAGGGCCACAGGAGAGGAGGGGGACTTCAAACCTTGTTGTTGTAAAAGAAAATGCGAGGAAAACATCGAAGGGTGCCGATGATGGTAAATGAACCGCTTAAAAACACTCGAAAGAGCCGCAGCAAATGAGAGCAAGAGGGACTAGAGAGTGACATAAAGAAAAGCTAACTGCAGTGAAGCAGGCAGCGGACAGAGGCAGGAGGAAGGACGAACAGGCATGTGGCCCTGCGGCTGGAGGGGAGGAAGTGTGGGCGAATCGGTGGGGTCCCAAGCAGCCTTCAGAGGGGATTGTGTGGCATGCTGGCTAAGTGGACAGGCTGGATTGGGTTGTGTCCCTTCCTTCCTCCGAGTGTGGGGCAGGGGGAACTCCTTCTCCCCTGATGGTCCTCGGCGTGGAGGGCTTATTTCAGTTAAGGTCTGCAGGGGATCGCTTGCCAAGTGATTATCTTGGGGGATGGGGTGGAAGCAGTGGTGATTTTTCCCTCTTCTCATCCCACATTTCTGAGCATTCGTGGTTATAATTTTGTGTGATTTATACGAAACATCCTATAAGTTAAAAAGTGTGTTAACTGAGCATCAGCTTGGGGGGGTCAGGGGAGGCAGAACAGGGCACAGTAAGAAATCATCTCTGTTTAGAAAAGGAGCTGGGGGGACTAGAATCCTACAGTCTGGGAGCTGGTTGTGCTGGGTTGCTGAGCCCACAGCTGGAGGCATGGCAGGTGCTGACAGTGCAGTGTCGTGTGTGTGTGTGTGTGTGTGTGTGTGTGTGTGTGTGTGTGTGGTGTGGTGTGGAGGAGGGCAGAGGATGGCAGACAGTCCTCAGTGGAATGTGCGCCGAGGTGTCGGGCTGGGCGGGCACTGGCTGGGGGTGAGCTGCTACTTCTACAACTTCCTGTAATTACCCTGCAGCTGAGCGGACCGCCCTCAGCCCCTGCTGGGCAGAGGCCCAGAGCAGCCGCCTGCCTCCTGTATGCTTGGGAGTCCTGCTCTCTTGCATTGCCTCTGTGATGCCATTGTGAACCGAGGACTGCAGCCTCGCGCCTGAAGATGGGGAACTCGTACGCGGGGCAGCTGAAGACAACGCGGTTCGAGGAGGTCCTGCACAGCTCGATCGAGGCCTCCCTGCGCTCCAGCCAGCTGGTGCCCAGGCCCATCTTCTCCCAGCTGTACCTGGAAGCTGAGCAGCAGCTCTCGTCCCTCGAAGGTAGGTGACACTAGCATTGGTCTGAGTAGGTTGATGTGGGGACCAGGATGCAGCAGACCCGGGTCATTGGGAAAAGAAAGTGTCTTGATGAAAACGAACCCACGTTTCAGTCAGGATGAAACTATGGGTGGGATTGATGGGGGACTGGAAGAGTTGCGACTGGCTGTTGGGAGCTGATTGATAAGGGCTTCTTAGACACCAGGCATGTTAGCTTGGGGAGTTAGTGATCAACTTGTTTTGCACCTTTTGCTGTGCCCTTCAGTCGCATGGCCACGTCTTTGCAAGGTAGCCCAGGTCATTTCTCTCTGGGGCGGTGGAGACCAGAACCCCTCCTGGAACTTAAAACCTCCCCGAGCAAACCCTCAGGAACTTCATAGATACTAAGAATTAAATGGCTAAGTGAGCTTTTGCTTGGGGATGGCTGTAAAGTTTATTTAATTATTTGGGGAGTAAGAGCTGTGTGTGTGTGTGTGTGGGTGAGAGAGAGAGAGAGCTGTGTATTTTCACACCAGAAGCAACCCCACTGAAGGGGATTAAAGGATGTTAGCTGAAGTACATGTGGTCAATTAACCAGGGAAGCATGCAGTGTGCCAGGTCTGGAGCTGGGAGCTCTGGTGAGCATGTTTCTGTGTTTGTGTTTCTGAGTATGTGAGTGTGTGTATAATGGGTTATTTAAGCCGTGAAGAAGGATTATGGAGAAACAGCAAGGATTTCAGTTTTTAATATATATATATATATTTAGTTACTGATTCATTCATTCAAGACAGAGGAGAAACATGCTCAGCTGTTGCTCATCTCCCCACAACGGCCAGGGCGGGGCCGGAGTTGAATGCAGGAGCTGGGCAGGTGTCTCCTCCCAGGGTCTGTGTTAGCAGGAAGCCAGAGGCAGGAGCCCAGTGTTGAACCCAGGCACCCAGCGAGGGACAGGGCATCTTACACGCTCAGCGTAACATCCGCCCTAATGGGAGCCAGGCTTTCAGTTTTGCTGGCGTGCATGGTGTTTGAGGACTCCCGCAGGTCGACCTTGGCTTCTCGTGGCCTGGAGAAATGAGATGTGATACTGATGGCCATCTTCCATGTTTGAAGCATGCCTTAAAGCCTGGAGTGCCCCCACCCCACCCCTAAGCTGAAGTCATCGCGACCCTGCAGGTGTGGGGCCTCTGGGGTGGCAGAGCTGCATGCTTGGCTCGGAACAGACTGGGGTGACCGCAGCTTTTACTGCTGTCCATCAGTGGCCTGCCTCTCCCCACCCCCTCATCGGGTCTCTAACGTTTTAGCTTCTTCTCTGCTGGCTTGGGCATAGGAGCTGGCCTCTCTGTGACTGTCCCGTTTGTCCAGTGTGCACAAGTCCCCTGTGGTTTCAGCCTTGAGGTACAGGCATGGCGGGAGGGGAGAGCCTGGACAGTTGGCTGAATGTCACCATAACCCCAGCTGTTGGCTGCCTACAGTGTTGTAAAGCACACAGAGCCAGCCAGCCAGTGGGGAGGCGCCTTGTTTTGTCTTTGCTCACAGGCAGCTAGAGTGCAGAGAGTATATGTGCCCAGGGTGCCTGTACTCGCCATACAGCGTGGCTGGAGGTTGTGCACGTGCATGGGGCGTGAGGCAGGCCCCCCATCTCTCTGTTCTGTGAATCAGGGCTCTTACTTGCTACTGCCTCCTGGAGAAACTGTCGCTCTTTCCTGATAAAAACAAGCCCAACATGGGGAATGAGTAACTATTAAACAATACAGATAAGTCCCTGTAAATCACCAACTTGGAAAGAAGATGATTGAATGCAAGCACTGCAATGAACAGCCTCATCTCGCTCCGTGCAGGCAGGTCAATAGGAGCCACTGAGCCTCCCGGTTTCATTAGGACCACCTTGGGTGCCCTCCCCGTCCTGGAAGCTGTCAGCTTGCACCTGGTGCGTCCTGCAGCTGCTGCAGCCTACTGGTCTAGCCAGCTCTGGGCCCCTAGCCTGATTGCAAACCTTGGCCTTTAACCATGCTTCTACTCTAACTGTCCTGCCTTTAGAGCTCTGCTTGACTTTGGGGCTTCAGACTCCCCTCACCCCATGTCTGCTGGGAGCCTGGGTTCCTTCCTTTCAGCTCAGTGTGGTGACAACATGAGGGTATCCCAGTGTGCATGGCTCCCGAGGTTCTGCTCTGGGGACGCCTGTGGCTTTGGCTTTGGGGACTGCCTCTTTGATTCTTCCTGAGATGTCTCCCCAATGCTCTCAAATCTTGGGTGTCTTTCTTTGTGGCCTCCTCTGTGTGGGCTCGAAAAGGAGGTTCGTGTTTCAGAGCTCTGGGCCTTCCATGCCTCACGGGGACTTGCTGCTCTGTGGAGCCTCTTCTGCCCTCTGCCACAGCCGCCCCTGCCTGCGTTGCCGGTGGAAGGCAGTGCCGGCTATGGCCTCTGACTCTGTATTGCCTGGGTTGTCTTTCTGATCTTCCCTCCACCTCTGTGTCCAGGGCCCCGAAGGACATCAGGGGCTCCTGCTTCTCTTTCAGCCATGACCTTCCCAAGGGCTCCATCCTCAGCACATTCTGTGCCTTCTGCCCCCCAGGCAGCTCAGTGATGGTGGCTGGTGGCCTGCTCGGGTCACGTCTGCAGTGCTCAGGGAAGCTCTGAGGGCCGTATCTCCCTGCACGAGCTCTGTGGAGCTCACGGTTCAGGGCCACCACAGGGGCTGCCTGGGCCGACCCCCCTCGTGCAGGACGTTGGAAAGTACTCTGGTTTCCTCCCATTCGTCTTGGCTGTCAGACATGACTGAGAATGTGCGGGCTGTGTAAGAGCTGTAGGCCAGTCTCCTGTTGAATAAAAACACTCATGTGTTACTCAGGTGACTGATGTCCAGCATACAAATATTCTTGGAACACAAATGCCTATATCTACCTACTGGCTTTGTGCTTGGTTGTTTTTTGTTGAAAGTGTATTTACTTATTTGAAGGTCAGAGTTGAGGAGAGACAGAGAGAAAGCAAATCTTCCATTCACTGGTTCGCTCTCCAGATGGCTGCAATAGCAAGGACTGGCCCAGGCTGAAGCCAGGAACCCTGAGTGTCACCCAGGTCTCCCACATGGGTGGCAGGAGTGCACACACTTGGACTGCCTTTTGCTGTCGTTGCTGGGCAACCAGCAGGGAGCTGGAGCAGAAGTGGAGCAGCTGGGACTTGAACTGGCACTCATATAGGTTGTAGGAACAGTAGGCAGTGACTTTACCTGCTGCACCACAACTCTGGCCCTTGTGCTTGGCTCTCATAAACTAATTACATGTGCAGACAAAGTGGATGGTAAAGAAGTAAACACACTTGAAGCCTGTGGGCTGTGAGATGTGACATCAGCTCTTCCCCGCCGCAGTGGGGAGGAGTGACAGCACCGCCTGCTTGCCTGCGAGCCCTGCTTCACTGGGCGGCATCCAGTTGGCATTGAGTAGATAGTGGGCAACGCTCCAGGGCCCTGGGCCTGTGTTGACCAGGGGCTGTGGCAAGGGGAGTGCTGAGGGCTCACAGCAGCTGTCTCACAAGTGCTCACTCTGCTTTTCACATCCAGGTGGCAGCCGAATGGACAATGAGGATGAGGAGGAAGAGGCGGAAGGGGGCCTGGATTCCAGCAGTGCCCCAAATCCCTGCCAGCTGCACCCTGTGCCTGACGGCTGCTGTACCATGGATGGTGAGGTCCTGCCCACCCCACAGTGTGCTGGAGCCCCTGAGCGCCCTGCACCCTGGGGCTGGGCCATGCCAGTTCCCCAAAGGCCCCTAGCACACCCCAGGATGCCCAGTCAGGCACAGGGCCCTTCAATGTTTCTCTGGAAGTGGGCAGTAAATGGTGAAATGCAGGCACCCAAGACTTCCCATGGCCCCACAGCACGCCGCTGTGAAGGTCTCTCAGGGTGGTGGCTATGCCCATGGTCACCAAGAGAGGGGGAACCACAGACAGCCCGCATCCAGACCAAATCCCTAGCAAGGTCACTTCCAGTCCCTCGGCTATTTCCTGCTTCTGGAAATGGACTTTCTTAAGAGGAAATACATCTCAAAGCTGTAAGATAGCAAAAGGCTCAGCAGCGTACAGGAAGGCCTCTGCACTCAGGAGGTTTCTCTGAGCCCTGGGTTCCCGGGTCCTTGGTCTGCTTGTGCCATGACTGTGCCAGGCACGGCAGGCAGCTGGTGGCAGGTGCACCCAGGTCTCTCTGTCTGTGAGCTGCATGCTGTCACCTGCCAGCTTTCACGCACATGGTTCCCCCTGGACCTCCTGGCCCTTCTCGCCTATTCTGTGTAAGTGGGTGCTGTCAGCCAGGAGTTGCCTTGGTAGTAATTTCACGTCTCAGAGCTGGTTTTGAAGCCCACCGGGTTGGCCCTCACAGTGGCTGAACCCTGTCTCCCCCTCCTAGGCTTCTGCCAGGCTGGGAAGGACCTGCGCCTCACCTCCATTTCCAGTGACCCTATTGATGTCCCTGCGGGCTTCCTGCTCGTGGGGGCCAAGTCCCCGAGCTTGCCCGACCATCTCCTGGTGTGTGCCGTGGACAAGAGGTTCTTGCCGGACGACAATGGTCACAACGCCCTTCTTGGTGAGTCCTTGCTGCATTGGCACCTGCAGGGGTGGGGGAGGGCGTAGAGCTGGTGACTGCCTTTGGGATCCCCTGTCACACACCTGGTGGCCGATGTCTTGGAGGAATGGCATCCCAGCAAGATTCCTGCCCCCTCATGGATTTCATCCTTTCATGGCCATTTTCATTTCATTTCATTTCATTTTGCTCTTTGATTCTTCAAAACTTCCCGAGTGTCTTGCTGGACTGGATCAGAAACCAAGTAACAGAGCAGAGGCGAGCGAGGTCATGCGTGTGTCCCTGTCCAGTCCCAGTGTCTGCCGGCCTCCCCCGCCCTTCTCTGCCAGTGCTCCCCTCCTGACAGGTGGCCACAGTCATCCTTGGCTGTCGCTGTCCCGCAGCGACGGACTTGGTGCACGGAGCCGATAATAACACGCGTGTACCCTGACTGATGGTCAAAGCTGAAGTTTATTAGGGGCATCAGACTTTATACACTGAGAGTCCGTGCTGTTTCCCTCTCTTGATTGGCATTCCTTTTGTTTTGTATATCCCACCAGGTGTTCTCATTTACATGCTGTTTATACCAAAGGTAGCCATTTGGTTGTTGTCATGCAAATACTGTCCAATGAACTGCAAACCTGTGCTCGCTGACCTTCCAGGCTCACAATGTCCTCCTACACTTGGCCTACTGTGGGCTTGCAGCTTTTAAGGAACTTGCCCAGCGGTAGCCAAGTCAGGACCCAAGCCATGCCTTCCTGGCTCTAGGTTCTGCCCTCCAATGGCTGTGTACCCCAAAGGCTGTATGAGGGGTCAGAGTCAGGAGGGTGGGGGCCTTGGCTTCCGGCACCCTGTGGCCTGGACTTCAACACAGAGTTGAGGCCAAGCCTGGCTTCCAGGTGCATTCAGGCAACATTATTATGCTCCTACTGTGTGCTTACCCCCCTGCTCACCCAGTGTGTGGTAGAAGTAAGTTTAACTGTAGAGGAGAGGCTTCTAGATTAGAAATTTCTCTATCAAAACTTGTAGGTTAATTACTAGCTCTGTCCCTGGAGGTGGGAAGTACACTCGTGTCATTAGATAGAGATGGGGCCCATTTTTGTGAGGTGCTGTGTGAGGGAGCCGGGGGAGGGACAGAGGAGAGGGGAGCATGCCTGCTTTCAAGCTTCAGACTGCTCTGGGACGAAGGTGAGGGTGGGACAAGGTGCTGGCCCCTTTCTCCTGAGGTCTCTGGACTCTGGCCAGTTCTTTAAAATAAGGAAATCCCAGAAGGTACAGTCTGCCTAGGAGCTGGCGGAATCTGGTTCTGAATCTCAAACTGAATTTGTTTTCCCAAGGCTCAGGGAGGGGGTTGGTTAGGGGACTGGGGGTGGCTGTGCTAGTCTTTGATCTGGCCAGGGGCATAAATCAAAGATCCTCTGCCCCCTCTTCCCGCCCATGGAGCCAGAATCTCCTAAGCTGCCTGCCAGCCTCGCAGCGCCAGCTCCTGGGGTGGCCGTAAGTGTGCAGGAAGTAGCAGCCTTGTTAAGTGCTCGCCAAAAAGCCAACGGAGCCAGGCAACAAGGGCCTCTTGGGAATAACAGGACTTTTCTTCTTTGATAATAGGTTTATGCCCCAGGCTTGCACACTTAGCACTGTTTAGGTTTCCTGCAATTAACCCCAGGTGGCTGCCCAGGGTCTGTGGCCTCACTGTCCTGCAGGGCTGTCCTGCAGGGCTGGGCGCCTTTTAATGACCTATAAAGCAGAGCCTGGGAGATGTCCTGGGGGAGCAGGGGCTTTAGGAATCCTGTTTCAGTGAGTTTGAATCCACCAGGGATTTTGTCTAAGAAAGCTGAAAGATTAAACTCCAGGCGTGTGTTCAGGGTTTGTTTTTGCCCTTAATCTGTCTAAATCGGCTGCTTACGAAGATGCTGGAGAAGAAAGTGTGTCTCTCTGGAAAGTTTGTTTCTTAGCTCCATTTGCGGGTAGAGGGTTAGGCAAGCATTTGTGGAATGTGTAACCCCGGCCTGCAGGCCAGACACTCAGTCTGGGCCCACGGTGGGATACCCACGTGGGAGAAAGATCAGTTGCCGGGTCCACAAGGGCTGCCGCTCAGTAACGTCCCCCTAGATCTTGGGGCAGGGGAAATGCCAGAGGGTGCGCTGACTCTCTATGCTGGGAGAGGTGCCCATGGGAGGAGGGGCTTGAGACAGGGCCAGGGAAGTGGGTACAGACTCACCAGGTGCTAGCCAGCATGGCCAATCATGAGCCAGAAGCAGTTCCAGATCAGCTGCAGCCACCAGCGAGGCGGTTCGCTTGTCACCTGTACAGAGGGGCTGGCTCAGGGTCATCCAGCTGGGACTGGCAGGTCCTGAGCTGGAACTTGGTGGTCGAGCCCTGGTGTTCCCATGCAGGAATGGACCTGGGTATCTCAGGCCGAGGGAGCCATGCATATAGAAGAACTGGGTTAGCATTGCCCTTGGCTGCAGCTTGGCTCACAGGGAGAAGTGGGCAGAGCTCAGTTGGGTTCTGCTTGGAGGAGGCTGGGAAAATGACAGAATGTCCCAGTTCTCACTGCAGAGGGGGAAGGGAGAGTGTGATGAGGGTGCGCCTGCCCTCCGCCTCAGCGGGGCTCCAGCTCATGGCCAGCCTGGCCTTTTTTGCGACTCCTTCCTCTTGCTCCACTCCTGGAATGTCACACATGAATCCCAGCAGGACATGTATGCACCTGTTTTGGTTCAGGAGGTTTATCTGAAGGACAAGTGCTTTACGTGGTAAGTCCTATACATATCTAAGAAAAGTAATAGTCCTGCAAGAACACCAAATAGCCAGTGTGTTCAGACTTCTCTTTTGTTTTATTAAGGATTTGTTTGAAGAATAGTTAGAGAGAGAGAGGGAGAGGGAGGGAAGGAGGAAGAGAGAAAGCTCTTCTATCTGCTGGTTCATTTTCAAATGGCTCTGGTGACCAGGGGTGGGCCAGGCCCGAGCCAGGAGCTTCCACTGGAACCCAAGCACTTGGGCCATCTTTTACTGCTTTTCCCAGGCCATCAGCAGAGAGCTAGATGGGACATGGAGCAGCTAGGACTTGAACTGGCGCCCATATGGGTTCCTGGCATGTGCAAGGTGAAGATTTATGCACTAGGCTACCATGCTGGACCCTTAATTTTTTCTTAACTGGTGGATCCTTTCTCCATATTTTTTTCCTCCGACATTCCATTTTTAAAAAGCACTAAGGATGTTAAACGCGGTGGTCACCATTTTTTGCTTGGTGTTTTAGGAAGACCTCTGGTCAGTTACACATGCGGGTGGGAGAAATTGAGGCAGCATTGTGGATATCTGCTGGCCTGAGCATGGGAAGGGTCTTCCCTTCCATCCGTGGGCGCTGGACCTTATGGTGGACAAAGCAGTGTCCCTGTCACATGAGCAGCAAGAAGCCACATGGGCTTGTATTGGCCATTTGTCAGGGTGCATTTCAAGTGGCTTTGTCACTGCCGCTGCACCGTGGGTGCCCTGAGATGGCGCATTCCAGCCACTGATGGCCAAGCTCCCGGCATCTACTCCAGCGTGCCCTGGCCGTGCCCTGTGGAACCTTGTGGGATCCAGTGCTTGGGGTGCCCACTGGGCTGCATCATGGAGCCTTGGTCTTGGAGGTCTTGCAATGTACCCGTTTCACTGATCTGACTTCTCTGGAACTCTGGCTCTGGCTAGTGTCCAAGAAGCAGGGTCCCTGAGCTGTGTGGTCCTTGAGTGAGGCAGTTCTTACCCGGAGAAGCCTGTTCGTTCCCTCTGTGGGGTTGGAAGTGCGCCCCCAAGCTCATGAGATGTTCTGAGTCTGCCAGGCCCGGCCTCAGAGCTTCAAGGGCCATCCTGTGTTACAGCTGAGGCTGCTTTTAGTTTAATTTAATTCAATTTATTTAAAAAGCTCTTGGGCCATGCTCCATTGCATTCCTAGGCACATTAGCAGGGAGTTGGAGCAAAAGTGGAGCATCTGGGACCTGAACTGTGCCCAAAGGGGATGCTGGTGTCACAGGGGATGGCTTTACCAACAGGGCCACTGTGGCGGCCCCCGAGGCTGTCCTGGTCCCCGGACCTTGGGCTGTGCCAGGCCCTTTGCCCTGCGCACTGGCTGGTGGGCTGGAACCTGGACGTGCAGTTTCCCTGTGCTCTGTGCTATTTGAAACCTACCTTGGAGCTGAGCTGGAGCGTTCCCGTCCGCTTCCTCCTGCAGGCTTCTCCGGGAACTGCGTTGGCTGTGGCAAGAAGGGCTTCTGTTACTTCACCGAGTTCTCCCATCACATCAACCTGAAGCTGGCCAGCCAGCCCAAGAAGCAGAAGCACCTCAAATACTACCTGGTGCGGAACGCCCAGGGGGCTCTCACCAAGGGGCCCCTCATTTGTTGGAAAGGCTCAGGTGAGAAGCTGGACTCCAGGAAGGGCCTGCGGGTGGGGCCTGTCCCTGCAGCCGGGCAGGGTGCCCGTCAGGGCAGTGCTGGCCAGAGACCGTGTGCAGGGAGGACCGGTCATCTGCAACTTGGTGTCCTTAGTGGCGGGCTACATGTAGGGGACATTCTCAAACTGACAGAGGCTGTACTGTGCTGGGCCTCCCTGTGGGGAGCACTGGGGGACAGTCCTGTCCGCTAGAGGATTTTTGGCAAAGTCTGGGGGCTTTTCTGACATTGCTGAGAGGTGCAGCTGGCATCAGGCGAGGGGCTAGAGGAAGTGTTGTCCAGCCCACGGCGCCCGGGGCAGTCCCTGGCCCAGAGGAGGCTGAGTCTGCCTCAGCTCCCGCCCCAGCTCCCCCACCTGGAGCCCGGAGTGGCATTTGTCCTGGGGCAAGGGGTGAGGCCCGCCGTAGGCTGTTGCAGGAGAGGGCTGTGGGCTGCACTCTGGCCTGTCTGTCTCCCCAGCCTCAGTAGGCACTGAGGGCGGAGGGGAAGGGCCTGCCCTGGAGGGACTGTCCCTATGATGGCCAGGGGGAGCGGGCTGGTCTCCCAGGCAGGCTGCTTGCTTTCCGCCCTCTTTATGCAGTGCTTCCCATGTGCCAGTCCCTGCCCAGGCCCTGGAAATGGAGTGGCTCTCCTGAACCTTGGCTTACCATCTGTGGTCGCTTGGCACAGCAGGCCCTCTTGCAGGGCAGACCTGCCGCTGGCATCAAGCCTTGTGGATGGAGGAGGGCAGGTGGGCTGAGGCATGGCATCTTCCTGTGACAGTCCTTGTGCTCCCTGTACCTTCCAGGTGGGCGTCAGCTAGTGCCCCCTTGTGTCTGCCTCTCATCCCTTCCCTGCTCGCTGTAGCCCCCACACCTGGCAGACAGAGTTGCCACTGGGCATGGAGCCAAGGCAGAGCCGTGCCCTCCTGTACAGCTCCACGCTGCAGCTGAGGCTGGCATGATGGTGGCACCTGCTGGGGCTACTCCCATGGGAGCTGCCTGGGAAGTGGCTGGGCGACAGTGGGAGAGGCTCAGGGGTTTTCTCCCATGCGTCTGTCCTCAGAGTTCCGAAGCCGGCAGACTTCCGCCAGGACCGGTTCCATTTCTGTCTTCCCGCCACTGGACAGCTCGGGGGCTCCGACTGCCTTCCCCAGCGAGCCTGCTCCTGGAACCAACCCCGGCGTCCTGGTGGGCGCTCAGCAGGCAGGTGAGACCCAGGGTGCCAGGCCCTTAGGCCCAGTGTGTCCAGCAAGCCCAGCCGACTGTCCTGCTTTGTACTTTATCTGCGTCTTGAACCTGAAGTGGTTTTCAGCAAAGGCTGTGCATTTCACTTGGAAAGCGTTTCCACTCTCCTCCCACTGGACGCGTGATGTGGGCAGCGAGGATCATGTGCCGGGGGTCCCTGTGTCCCCCAGGCCACAGTCTGCAGCTCTGTGCCAGACAGACTAGATTGGGGTCGGCCCTGGAAGTCACCGGGGCCTGCTGATGCAGCTGCTGTGGTCAGCCCGAGGGCCCAGTCATGAGTGGACACAGCAGGTGTGTGTCCACGTGCTGGCCGCGGTGTGCCCACGCATGTGTGGGCTCCAGCAGGCCCCCACCCATGTCGGGATCTCCTGAATCCCGACCACTACCTGTGAGCAGCCTTTGGTTTGCTCTGTACTAACTGGATAGCCGAAGTTCAAAAGATCAGAGGCTTGGCCGGGACTCCACGGGCAGCAGGTGGCGTAAGCCAGGCACCTTGCCAGGCTAAGCTGCCCTGTGACGCATGAGATGCCAGTCTTCTGGGGACCCTGGAAGGTCCCTGCTGGTTCCTCTTCCCTTGTCCAGAGTCCTTGTATTGTCCTCTAGTGGCCTGGTCTGGGACATGATGACCTAAGGTGGCTCCACGCCTCTGTGGAGTCAGCTGTGGGCCTGTCACCCAGTGTCCAGGACCAGCATATCTGCCTCACTGGACTGGGAGCTGCTGGTGCCACCTCTGCCCAGTGATAGGGCAGCAGCTCCCCTGTTTGCCTGTGAAGGTAGGAGAATCTCTTATTTGCTGGTGACCATAAGCCCTAGTCAGGTGATGGTGGGGGTTGGTCCCCCTTGGCGTGGGCTCCTGGCCAGGCCCCGTTCTGGGCACTTGGCTCCTGCCTGCTCAGTTCCTTCTCACAAGGGCTTTAGCCACACCCACTATCATCACCCCTGTTTTATGGACGAGAATGTGGAACGGTCCTACCTGGTGAGCTGGGGTTCGGCAGGGGCTACTGCTCCCCCAGAAAGTGAGTGCTTGGTGCCATTTCTGACTTGAGTGTTTTCTAGAATATCCTGGCTGTTAGAACCAATGATTGTCCCCAGAATATCCTCAGGTGTGGGGAGCCCTGGGCGCTGCGAGCAGCCCAGACCTGGCTGGCTTTAAACCTCACTGGTGTTGTAGGCTGTGTTTGGATACAGAGCTCCACTCTGGAGGTTGCAGGAGTAGTGAGTGGGAGCAGGAAGCCGTGGGGTCTCCTGTCCTTACACCTTGGTGCGAGTGTGTGCACGCGTGTTTGTGTAAGTGTGCTTGCTCATGTGTGTGCTCCAGTAGGAACATATGCATATGTGTGTGTGTTAATGAGTGTGTCTGTCTATGCACCAGCAGGGCGTGTGTATATGTATCTATGTAAATGTGCTTGTTCACGTGTGTGCTTAAGCAGATGTTTGCTTGGGTGTGTGTGTGTATGCATGTGTCTCATAGGGGCACAACTGCCCTCTCGGGAGTTCAGACCTCCTGATGAGACATGCCAGGGCAGGTGCCATGACAAAGTGACCTTGTTAGAACAGAAGAGAGGCCACTTCCTGCTCACCCGGCTGGCAGAGCCTCCTGGGAACTGATGCTCCCCTCCTCTGCCTCCAGGACCGCCTTCTGATCACCCCTCACTCAGTGCAGTGCCTGGCCCCCCCATCTTCAATGGCAGAGACTCCCCGAAGCACCAGCAGCTGATGAAGAAGAACCCGCCTGCAGCGCCACGGCCTCCAGCCCTAGCTTGCATCCCAGGTGCTGGCCCCCTGGGGGTTCCCACTCTTGGCCAAGGCCAGCAAGGGGACAGCAGCTCTTGGAGTCTGCTTTCGTATCAGTGAGGGTCAGCAGGTGCTCGGTCAGCCGTAGGTGTGCAGGGAAGGAGTTCCATATGGGAGATGCTGGGTGAGGAGAGGTTTGAGAGGGAGACGGGATGCTGGGACCTGGGGACCTGTTCCTGGGCTCTCCTGAGCCAGTCCCCACGCCTTGTCCCTGTGCTCACAGTTTCTCAGGGGTGCCTGGGGAGTGCTGGAGCCTAGCATGGTGGCATAGAGGGGAGCTTGAGGTCCACAGAGGCAGGACCTGGGCCTGGTGGGGAGGGAGGCAGGAGGCAGCGAGGTGTTACGGGGGTAGGTGTTCATCAGAAAAGACCGGTACCTCTCCAGACAGGATCTGAAAGAAAGCACTAGCCTTGGAGATCAGGGCTTAATGGAGAAGCTGCACCTGGCCGGCCAGGCGGGCCTCTCGGGAAAGGCCCGAGAGCATGGTCTGTGTCCACACCCGGCTCAGGAGGGGATACGCTCGCCCCTTCCTGGCCTCTCTTCCCGCCCTCTACTTTTGGACAAAGGGTTTGTGGGTGTGAGGCAGGTGGACTTCTGCCATGGCCTCAGGACCCTTGTGTTGTCAGGCTGGGGGCTCCCCTGGCGCAGGGCACAGAGGACCCCCTTGGGGTGCCGGGGAACAGCCGAGATCACTCGTAAAGCAGGCAGGTCTGGGGAGGACCTCGTGGTGAGACATAGTGCACGGACATTGCTTACGCGGTTCCCTGCCTCACACACGCACATGCACACACGCACACATGCACGTGCACACACACACACATATATACACACACATATACATAAATACACACACACACATGTGTGCACTCGTCTCTGACTTCCTACCTGCCAGGCTCTGCCCACAGTGTGTGTGGCTCTCCAGGACACCGTGGGTCCAAGCTCCTGCACCTGGCTGCTTGGAAATCAGGGACTTGGTGTGACACAGTGGGGACAGTAGCTGCCAGGAGGGCAGAAGAAGCCTGCTAGTTTGCAAGCTCATTGTAAACTCTCGGTGCTTTGCGTTTTAACATTTCTTAAAGATTGATTTTTAATGGGAAGGCAGATTACAGAGAGAAGGAGCGACAGAGAGATCTTCTGTCTGCTGGTTCACTCCCAAAGTGGCTGTAGTAGCCGGAGCTGAGCCCATCCGAAGCCAGGAGACAAGGGCTTCTGTGTCCCCCACGTGGCTGCAGGCTCCCAAGGCCTTGGGTCGTCCTCTGCTGCTTTCCCAATACACAAGCAGGGAGCTGGAAGGGAAGCGGAGCAGCCAGGACACAAACTGGTGCCCACATGGAATCTTGGCATGTGTTAGGGGAGGATTTAGCCACTGAGCCATTATACTGGGCCCCATTTTTAACATTAAAAAAAAAAAACCTCATTGTTTGAGAAACATAGGTACAGACACAGCTCCTGTCCACTGCTTTGTCTCCAAGTGTCTGATCACCAGGGCTGGGCTTGGGCCTGAAGCTTGGGGCCGGGCACTTGGTCCAGGTCCCCTGTGTGGCTGGCAGGAGGTTTCACCCTCCATAGTGTCGGAATCAGCAGGAGCTCCCGGAAGCAGACATACTGCTGCACCTGCAGGCTAGCCTCCAGACTTCCTGCGAGGGGCTCGAGTTCAGATGGAGTCTGCAGGTGACATTCACGTGTAGCTAGTGTGGGGACACATCAGGGGAGCCTCCTGTCAGCCTGGCCAAGAAGCCATGGCGACCACTTGATACCTTGAGTCATCCAGAAGGAAGAGCTGCAGCCAGGACGTGCTGTTCTCTGGGGCAGACCAGGAGGCCCGTGGGCTGCCAGCTGCTGCATGCCTTGGGGTCTCCAGCCTGACTAGCTGGTCAGGCTGGGGTGGACACAGAGCCACAGATGGATCTCTACTGCCCCCAAGTGGTGAGAATGGATGGTGAAGCGAATGTGGCTGCAATGCCTCTCCTGAAATACATCAGATCTCACTTCTGACTCTAGGAGGAGACATGCAATGCACAGAGGATGATGATGGTGAAAGTGATGTCAGGGCTTTCCAAACCTTTCAAAGCAGGTTTTATTATCTCATTTAGTCAGGAAAGTTCGAGCACTTGCACGCCTTTAGAATGGGATATTTATGAAACTGAGTGTTCTTCCTTGGAGTGTGCTTCCTCGGATGCCTCAAACCCATTAGATGACACATACATGTTGTCCAAACCGGGGCGCTGGGAACACGTCATCCCGGGGGTCCTTGGTGGTTCAGCTTCACGGTCCCTGCTCTGAATGCTGTCTAGGTGTCCTGTCCAACTCGGGACCCCCGAAGAAACGTCACAAGGGGTGGTCTCCTGAATCTCCATCAGCTGTGGATACTGGCTGCCCGACGGGTGCTGGGGTCAGAGCCAAGGGCGGTGAGTGAGCTCTTGTCCAGGCAGCCCTGGGCCCTGGTGCTGCTGGGGAGCAGGGATGGGAGCGGGGGACGATGGGGGAGTGCAGCCTCAGTGGGGGGACTGTAGCTGTGGAAGATGTTTATGGTGGCACAGCTTTGTGAGAATTTAAAAAACTTTGTGTAGCAAATAAAGCAGCTATTTATTTTACTCATTTGAGATCTCCAGTTCGCTGGTTCATTCCCCAAGGGCTTGCTATAGCTGGGGCTGGGCCAGGCCAAAGCCACAAGCCAGGAGCTCAATCTGTGTCTCATGTGGGAATGTGGACGTATTGGGGAGCCATCACCTGCTGCCTGCAGGTGCCATCAGCAGGGAGCTAGGCTGGGAGGAGGACGGGGCTGGAGCCCAGGCGCTGTTGGTTTAGGGTGCGAGAAGGCCCACCCCAAACTTGCCTTTCAGTTGTACTTTCCATGAGTTTTCCTGGCACCCTGGGGTGGCAGAGTTGCTTTCTAAGGCCCAGACCCTTGGGGAGTGTGTGTTCCCTGACCGTAAGAAGTGTGAAGGGTGTGTGTGTATGTCACTTGTAAGGATATTCAAGGGAAAGGCCTGAGGTACCCAGGCCGGGTGAACTCAGGTTGGGGGTGGGTGGGTGTTGACTTGGAGTCCGTGGCTGGAAGACTTGGATCCCCGTTGTTGTGGGGCCAGGGGAGGCTGGTGGTTCGGTGACACTGGGACCCCTGTCTGCTATCCTTCACTGATCATCTTTGCATTGTCTAGAAAGTGCAGGTGTCTCCTGCCTGCCCCCGGCTGGCTTCCTGGGACCCACATCGGTCACCTTTCCTGTTGCGGCCTCTGGGGAGCCAGTGTCTGTCCCCGACAACCTGCTGAAGATCTGCAAGGCCAGGCCGGTGATATTTAAAGGCAAGTACACCTGTACCCCAACCACGCACAGCTGAGGCCTCGCCTTGGTGGGGTCTTCTACTGGACTCCTGCCAGGGTGATGAGAGAGTGGGCAGAGCCAGCCACTGGCTTAGCCATGACCCAGTGCCAAGGCTCAGAGAGGGGCTGCCTGCTGCCCGCAGTCACATGTCTGGCATCTGCTTGTCCCCTGTTTGTCTCCCTCTCCACTGCCTGAGCAGTCCTGAGTCCTGCCATGGTAATGGGCCCAGAGACGGTGAAGTCTGATTTTTGCACCAAGGAACCCAGTCTGGGGCCTTATCCTGTGGTCCACCCTAGGCCGCCAGGATGTCCAAATGTGAAATCCACCTTTGGTTGGGCCAAGGTGGCTGTTGGTACTACTGTGGACTCCTCCAGCAGAGTTGGGCTTGGTCTGCACAGCGAGCTAAGCTGGGTCATGTGGGCTTGGGCTCTACCTACAGACATTCTTGTCTAATGAGGCTGGAGTTTTCCCTTACAGTGGGGAAACCCGTGAGGCCCCAGTGGGACTGGGTCGAGATGGTAGTCGCAGTACAGTGTGCTGGTGTGTACAGTCACACAGGTCCTCTTTGAGTAAGTTCATATTGCACTGGGCATCCTGCTTACAGGAAGAGAGGAGGCCCAGAAAGGGACATGCCACCTTCTCTCTCCTACAAACTATAAACCAGCTGGGGTATACAGGAGGGAGGGTGGGTCCTGAGCTGCACACGAGGCCAAGCCCCTGATGAGGTGGCTCCATTGGAGGCCAGCTGGGATCTCGTGAGACCATGGGCAGCCAGGCACTGCGTGTTCTCTTGTAGCTATGATCTGCCTGGGGTGCTCCTGGGGCTTGGGGTGCTCCTGGAGCTTGGGGTGCTGAAAACACAGCCCTGAGCCAAATCTGGGCAGGAGGCTGGGTATCGCCTGCACCCACTGGGAGCCAGCAGCCCCAGAGAAAGCCTGGTGGGGTGGGCGCTACAGACCTTCCTCAGCCAATTCCCATCCTGTAGCATAGCCCATCTTCTCAGCTCCACACTGGCAGGTTTCCTGCCCGCCTCCTTTCAGCGGAGGCCAAAAACTGCAGGGTGCTTGTCTCCGGTGCCCACTTCCCACCAGGCTGCCAGACCCCCAGCCAGCACCTGCTCTGTGCTGTTGTCTCCAGCTCCCAGTGTGGCTTCCTTGCACAAGTGCCCTCCCTGGGACAGAAGCACTTCTGTCCCGCTGTGCCCATGAGCCAGCTTCACCTGGGAGTTTGCCAGTTCTGATCAGTGGCTGGGGCAGGGCTGGCTAGCACTCAGCAGGTGGACAGTGTGCCTGTGTCTCAGCACAACCCATGGAGACGGTGAAGCGAGCCAGGTTTGTCATCTCGGCGACTTCCCGAGCCTTGACATCTGTGCTCCATGTGATGGATGTGGAGTTCCAAGAGAGAGTCACAAAGCTCCCACCCGGTCTATTTCTGAATCTCGCAGGCAGTCCCAGGGTTTAGGTCCCTACCCCAGCAGGGCTGCATCCTCCCTGCCACTCAGCAAGGTTCCAGTGAGGGACTGTCTTCAGAGGCCCAAGCCACAGTGCCAGGGCATATAGCCTTGCGGCTCTGAGCGAGCACCCTCTGACCTGTCTGGGTTTTGCCTTCGTCTGTGATGGGGTGTGGACTGAGCAAATGAGCCAGCCAGTGCACTGTTCCGCATGGGGGCTCTGTCCTTGCAGGGGCCAGAAGGGCGGGGCAGGTGCAAGAGAGCAGTTCTGGTTGAAATCTGTGGTGTCCAGGACAGAGACACTAGAGTGGCTTGGATGTGAACCACCTGTCCGTTGTAGGTCCTGTGGTTTTGGGGAAGCCATGTGTGGCCGGTGGCCCAGCTGCTGCCGTTTCCTCTCGTGCAGGCCACGGGAACTTCCCCTACCTGTGCGGGAACCTGAGCGATGTCGTGGTCAGCCCTCTGCTGTATACATGCTACCAGAACTCCCAGTCTGTGTCCCGGGCGTATGAGCAGTGCGGCGCCACCACTGTCCAGCCCATCTCCGAGGAGATGCAGCTCCTGCTGACTGTCTACTACCTGGTGCAGCTCGGTGAGCTCTGGGAACACATCAGGAGGGCACCCAGGGGTCCGGGGAGCCGACTCCCATGCCACCCTCGTGCCCACCTAGCATGGGGTGACGGTGGAGAGCAAACAGAAGCAGCAGCATGGGGATATTCTGGTCTAGGGAAAGATGAGCAGGGTGGGTGTGTTGGGGTCCACTTAGGGTAGTCAGGGAAGGCAGTGGGACTGCAGAGCTGAGCCATGGGAACTGAGGGGTGTGACAGGTGGGGCTATGGTGGAACGGAGGACACACGAGAGCCATGGGCAGGAGGGCAGGTGAGGGCTGTGGGGTGGGGAGGGGGCCAGGTGGGGCTGTGGGGTGGGGAGGGGGCCAGGTGAGGGCTGTGGGGTGGGGAGGGGGCCAGGTGAGGCTGCGGCATGAGGAGGGGGCAGGTGAGGGCCCTGGAGTGGGAGGAAGAACAGGTGAGGACTGTGGGGTCAGACCCTGGGGTGGCAGCGTGCGCACTCTGCCCAGCCAGCTAGGGAGACTGTGTGGCTACAGCAGAGCGGGTGAAGGTGCTGTGGGAGAGGGGCGGGGCCTCCGGTTGGGGTCAGGCGTGTGCCTGTGTCTCAGTAGATTGAGCAACCTCTGGAGCTGGTTGTAGGGGAGATGGATGTGGCCTCGTGTGTACTTTAAAGGGCACCTGTGCCATGTGAGCTGGGAGGTGCAGGAGCTGTTACAGGGACCTCAGTGGTGGCTTGGGCCTCTTGGGGTCCCAGGAGGGAGAGCCAGTGAGAAATCCACATCTGGGAGGGGCAGGGTGGAGCGGATGGGGCCTGAGCAATAGATGCTTGTTGGAGCGGGCAGACCTTAAGCCCCAGGAAAGAGGGAGGCCGTAGCAGTGATGGACCTTTGTGGTGGAAGCGGTGTGATTTACACAAAGGCAGGGAGGCAGCGGAGAGCCTGGAAAAGGTGCCAGGTCGACACCGCAACCTTCTGAGCTCGCCCAATACAGACCAAGGTCATTGGAAAAAATCACTACGAGACGCAAATACTGATAAGTATAACCTCTCACCAGTCGTTGAAGAGGTGTAAATCAGCGAGCCCAATAAAAATAGTCATTTCTCCAACCCACCCAGATGGTGGGACCAGCAGTCAGAGGACGGGGGCAACCCAGATCTGTCCTGAGAAGATGTGTTTATCCGAAACACAGGGGGACAGGCAGATTCTGTCTCCTGGTTCACACCCCAAGTGGCTGCAGCAGCCAGGGGTGGGCCGGGGCAAAGCCAGGAGCCAGAAACTTCCTCCGGGTCTCCCACGTGGGTGTAGGGGCCCACACATCCGGCCATCTTTCACTGCCTTCCCAGGCACATGGGCAGGGAGCTGGATCAGGAGTGCAGCAGCCGGGACCCGAGCCAGCACTGACTCAGAGGCTGGCTGTGCATATGTCACAAGCAGCAGTTGTAGAACCCATCAGTTGGGTGTGGCGTGGGTTCTAAGCCAGCACTCCTGGGGGCCTTGAAACTGACACTTCACTGCCCACCCCAACCTGCTGCAGCCGCTGACCAGGTGCCCCTGATGGAGGACCTGGAGCAGATCTTCCTGCGCTCCTGGCGTGAGTCGCACCTGACCGAGATCCGGCAGTACCAGCAGGCGCAGCCGCAGCTCTTCCCTCCCATGCCCAGCGCCGCGGCACCCGTGACCTCGGCTCAGCTGCCCTGGCTGGCTGGCCTGGCCGCCAGCTCCTGCAATGACAGCGTGCACGTCATCCAGTGTGCCTACTCCCTGGCCGAGGGCCTCTCAGAGATGTTCAGGCTGCTAGTGGAGGGCAAGCTGGCCAAGACCAACTACGTGGTCATCATCTGTGCCTGCCGCAACGCTGCCATTGACTCCTGCATCGCCGTCACCGGTGAGTCCGTCGCGGCTTCCTTTGCCTGCTGCCGGTGCCGGAGGCTCAAGCACCCGGTGACATGCTGAGCTGTGGCCTCATCCCTGCTGGGAGTGACTAAGGGAGCAGTGCCCTTTGCAGCCTGCGTAGACCTGGTTACAAAGCTGGCCTGCCTTGCCACCGGGGCTGTGGTTGTCGCTCAGACCAAGACTCTGGCCCCAGTTTTGCCCATGACCTGGTGCAGATAAGAACAGTGACCTTATCACATTGAGCCAGCTCAGCGACAGTCAAGGCACTCACAGTGGCCCATCTGTGTACAGCCAGTGTTGCAGGGTTTGGAGTCCAGGGCACTTTCCTGGAGTGAACAGTCTGGCCAGAGGGCCAGGCAGGCACTAGATGCCAGCGTCTTTGGCCTGTTTGGCTTTTGGCAGGTGCATGTGTTCAGCCTCGGGCTGTGCGATCCTTGGGTGTTACTTAAAAGTGAGCGCTGGCAGCCTGCAGCCTTCTCCTCTGGCCCTGGCCTCTTGCAGGCCGCCCCGTAGTAATCCTGCAGCCACTGCTTGCATCTGTGAGCGAATGCTGCTGCTGGCTCCTGCTCCAGGTCTGAGGGCTTGGATCCTTGCCCAGGGTTGTATCACAAGGGGGTGCTGTCAGGTCCAGGGCCAGCGCTCTGGGACTTTACTCAGAAATCATGACCATCTTCACACCCCGAGCAGGCAAGCTGGGCTGGGAAGGTGCGTGCCATCAATCTGTTTAACAAGCCCCTGCCCTCAGCCAGCATGCTGCCAGGCCTGGGCGTGGAGAGAGCAAGCCGCAGACCCTGTCAGCAGGGAGACTGGCCCAAGACACGCATGGTGTCTTTTCCAGGAAAATACCAAGCTCGGATTCTCTCCGAGAGCCTGCTCAGCCCTGCCGAGTACCAGCAGGAAGTCAGCACGGAGCTGGTCACCGGGAGAGTGGACTCACTGGGAGCCTTTGTCAGCACTCTCTGTCCAGGTGGGCCGCTCGGGAGGTGGGTGTGCGTGTGAGCAGTGAGGCAGCTGCAGACGGGCAGCCAGGTCCCCGACCTGCCCGTGACAACCCGGGGCTGCTTGCTCTGTGTCTGTCCTCCATCCCTGCCTTCTGATGCTGGCCAGAGGTGGCTCCTGGCCGCTGTCTCTGCTGGCTCTGGCTGCGGGTTCCCCTAGGTTGCTCCAGCCTGCTCCTCTCTACTCTCCAGCCTCCCTAGCCCCCAGTACTCCCCCATTCTGAATGACCTGAACAAGTCCCTTCCCGCCCCCCATGTTCTCTGAGCCCTCCTTGCTCTCCTGGCTCCCATTGTTTGGAATTCAGTTCCTGTCTTTCTGGAAAGCTCTGTGGACTCCTCCTCTCTGTCCTTCCCCTGCCCTGCACTGCACCGCACCAACTGCTCCCCTGGTTCACACTCCTGAGTCCTTACCAGCCTGTGCTGTCCTTGGCAGACCAGGCCACACCCTTTCCCTTGGCCTTGGGAGGTGACGGGCACACAGCTGTGCAGAGGACCTATTGCTGTTTGTTCTGTTTCGGGCAGAGGGAGACATTGACATTTTGCTGGACAAATTTCATCAGGAAAATCAAGGCCCCATGTCGTCCTCGACTGCTGCCTCCTCTGGCTCTCAAGCAGCACCTGTGGATGGGAGCGGGGCACCTGTGTGCACAAGTGAGTGTGGGGGGAAGGGCCCAGTGTGCGCTGGGAGCGAGGAGAGGATGCTGCCTGAGGGCTGGGGGCGTGCATCTGGACTGGTGAAGCCACAAGCCAGGGCCTGCTGGACTTTGGGGAGGCAGCATGCCTGCTCGCCAAGAGCCAGCCTCAGGCCCCATGGAACACATTCAGTGGCAATGTTGTCATTGTATGTGAACTTGTACCCTGGGCCTGGACCTAGTTCCCTATGGCGATTTTCTGCTCACACTGCAGGATGTGAAAATATGTCATGGAGGTTAGTTTCTCATCCATTGCCTCAAAAATGGTGGCTTCTTCCTTCCTTTCCATACAGCGTCCAAGCGCTTTCCCAGGGCCAGGCTCTGTGTGGCCTCACCAGCTGCTGTCGTGCTGGTCCCTGCGGGCACCATGTCCTCTGTGCCACTGATCACTTGACCTTAGGCTTTACTAGCAATGGAAGGGAGAGGGGTCAGGGCTGAGCTAGAGCAGGCGCTTAGATGTGAGGTCCCCCACAATGGGCTTGCCGCTCTGTCCCCCAGCTGCGGCCCTCTGCCCTGTTGGGGCTCACCCAGCCTCGGCTCTGGTTTCAGGCTACTACCTAGAGCCGTGCAGCGTCCGGCCCTTCCAGCTGGCCGTGGCCCAGAAGCTGCTCTCCCACGTGTGTTCCATTGCTGACTCCAGCACCCAGAACCTAGACCTGGGATCCTTCGAGAAGGTGGACTTTCTGATCTGCATTCCCCCCTCGGAAGTGACCTACCAGCAGACGCTGTGCCACGTGCGGCACTCAGGTACGGGACCCTCGGGGGAGGGCCAGCGGCTGGCCCCGTCTGCCCCCCGCATCTCTGGGCATTCACGCTTCCTCGGGGTAGAGCAGCTGGAGCAGGTGTCAGTTATTTCCGTTTCAAAAATGGTGATACTGACATCCAGGGATAGTGACTTGCCCGAGAATTTAGAATCTGTTAAGGGTAGAACCGAGACTTCAACTTTATGCTGTGTCCCACTCGGAGCAGCAAGCTGGTTTCTGCTTTGTACTTTCCCTGGGTTTTCGAAGAAGTTTAAAAATGAAATACCAAGTCTTCTCTCTGAAGATTCACTAGTGAAGAGTATGATGGAGGAGCCCTGAGCATTCAGGCCAGGAGCTGGCTCTGCCGGGCGGCGGGAGTGAACCCTTCCTGTCTGTCTCCACGCCCACCTTTGCTGGTGTCCCCGGCAGGCTACCGTGCACGTGGCCATGCCTCTGCCCCAGCTCCTGTGCACGGCAGCCCTGCAGCCGCAGCTCCCAGCCCTGACCATCAGGTGCCTGCTGAGCTGACGGGGCCCGGGGCCTTGCTTGTAGTCGCCTGTGTGTTTCTGCCTTTTGCAGGTGTGCTGCTGGAGTTGGGGCTGGAGAAGGAGCAGCTGACCAAGCAGAGAGTGGAACAGTACGTCCTGAAGCTAGACGCGGGGGCGCAGGGCAGGTTTAAGGCCTTCCTGCAGAACTCTCTCCAGAACCCACACACGCTGTATGTGCTCATCCACGACCACGCCCACTGGGATCTCGTGAGGTTAGAACAACCGCAGGGTGAAGGGTGACATATGGTCCGTGCTTTGTAGATCAGTTTATTTAAAAGGCAGAGACAGGTTTACAGAGGAATCTGCAGTCTTCTGGGTCACTTGCTAAATGGCCACAACAGCCAGCTTTGAGCCAGGCCAGGGCGAGGAACCAAGAGCTCCTTCCTGATATCCCAGGCCGGTGACATGGGCCCACGTGCACCTTAGACCATCTCTGTTCTTCCCAGGCATATGAGCAGGGAGCTGGATCAGAAGCGGAGCAGCTGGGATTTGAATTGGTGCTCAGACATGGGGAGCTGGTATTTTGAAATGATAAACAGCTGGCACCCGCACCCTGTGTCCTGGGGTTCCACATCCACGGATTCAGCTGGCACCCTGTGCCTGGGGGTTCCACATCTGGTCTTACTCCTGGGTTGGCGACAGGCAGTACCAAGGCCTGTCATGCATCAGGAGCCAGGACACTGGGAACAGGTTTCATCCCTGGTGAGCTACGAAGCAGTGCTTGGGTGATTCACTTGCTGGTTCTTTTCTTCCTGTTGCCCCCAGCAGTGCCGTCCATAACCTCTACTCCCAGGGCGACCCCGGCGTGGGGTTGGTGGACAGACTGCTCAACTGCAGGGAGGTGAAGGAGGCCCCCAACATCGTGACCCTGCACGTGACCTCTTTCCCCTACGCGCTGCAGACCCAGCACACGCTCATCAGCCCTTACAACGAGATCCACTGGCCTGCCTCCTACAGCAGCGTGAGTTCGGAGACGCGCTGTTGCTTGGGCGCTAGCTTGGTTGCCAAGGCCAGCGGCCGTTCCTTGGCTGTGTGATTCCGCCCAGGCAGGACTGGATGGAAACCCCTCCCAGCCTGCTGGGAACCTGCCTGCTGTCCCTCCACGGCCGCTGTTGGAGCAGCCTTGCACGTTTGTGCTCGTGGTGCTGGGGAGTGAGGCTCAGATTCTCCTCCCTGAGACCCAGCATGCAGCCCGAGCCCTGCTGTGGCGCAGCTGATCAACTTCTGCTCTCTCATCAAACAGGAAGGCCCAGACAGTTCTGATCATTTGAGAATTCTGTGGAACTAGAGTCTAGATCTTTCCACAAGGGAGTTAAGTGGCCATCTGGGGAACTCTGTGGAAAAAGAGGGTACATGGCCTCTGTCCTGGGCACTTTGGTTAGCGATGGTCTCGGAGGCACTGCTCCGGTCTGGGTGCCTTACCTGTGTGAGTGTGTGAGAGGCAGGTGCTGGGGGATCATCTGACAGCCTTGGGTCATGCTGTGATGGGTGGAAGCCTGGATGTGAGCCAGGCACCAACTTGGGACCCGCACCTTTGGGAAGCTCCGATGTTAACCTGCACTGATGCCCTGCGGACTGGCTGATGCGTCTATCCTGTGTTCCAGGGTGCAGCTATGTATCATGAGAATAAGAAGTACTTCGGGCTGTCCCAGTTCATCGAGTCCACCCTGTCTGGTCACAGCCTGCCCTTGCTCAGATATGACAGCTCCTTCGAGGCCATGGTCACGGCATTAGGGAAAAAGTGGGTACCTCTCTTCCAAGTGACTAGGAGTGCGTGGTAGCTTTTGTGTGGGTTGCAGCGTGGGCACCCACACACCCTAGTGTATTTATTTCTCTTCCTGCGTTTGCTTTGCTTTGGGCCAGTGACGTTTTTGTCTCGTTTTGCTCCAGAAACATTTAGAGATAAGAATGGGCAGAAATGTGCTGGAGTGTTGGGAAATGGGAGGGAAGATCCCAGCAGGCAGCGAGATGGTCACAGTGGGCTGCCTTTTTATTTTTAATGTGCAGACCTGTTGACTAGTTATTCTGGGCTGTTCATGGTTCCAAGACTATTGTTCTTTGCTTTAAAATCGACTGATGTTCATTGAGTTACTCTAGTTTATTTTGATTCATAAGCACATATGTGATAATTGTCCTTGTATTTTCAGTCCATCGTATGTTTCTGTTTTAAGTTGGTTACATTTGATTACATAGCTTGGTATCTGCCTTTTAATTGAGGCATTTAGGCCACTTATGTTTAATATGGTATCAATATGGCTGGGTTTTAATCTGTCATTTTACAGTTTATATATATCACTGGTATTTAAGTTTTTTTATTTATTTGAAAAGCACAGTTTAGAGAGAGACCATGTTCATCCACTGGTTCACGCCCCAAACGGTCACAGTGGCTGAAAATCGGACACTCAGAAGCCAGGAACTCCATCTGGGTCTCTCATGTGAGTGGCAGGGACCCAGGCAGGCACTTGGACCGTTAGCAGGGAACTGGATTGGAAACGGAGCAGCAGGGCTTGAGTCGGCCTCCTATGGGATGCTGGTGTCACAGCAGCAGCTTATCCCACCATGCCACAGTGCCCGGCCCACTTACAAGACAGCACAGAGTAATGGCAAGAGTGCTAGGCCAGCCCTCCAGTTTCTGTGACCCACAGACGCTGATGTGCTAAGGGAAGAAGGGAGAAGCAGAGGAGGGAGCAGATGATGTCATCCAGGAGTCACTGGCTTCCTGGGGTGCCCACACGGGTGCACGGTCCTGGGGTGGTCCCTGCTGCGCAGGTTCAGGGGACTCATTACAGCTGCAGAGACTGAGAGGAGCACTGCACCCTTTGGAAAGTGGATGTCAGGGTCTGGTGCTATGGCATAGCTCATACAGCAGCCGCCTGCAACGCCAGTTCAAGTCCTAGGCTCTCCATTTCCCATGCAGTTCCTGATGTACATGGGAAAGGCTCAGAGAAGATGGGCTAAGTGCTTGGATCCCTGCGCTCACGTGGGAGACCTGGAGGAAGTTCCTGGCTCCTGCCCGTGGCCTGGTGTAGCACTGGCACCTGTGGCTGTTTGGGGAGTGAATTAGCAGGTAGAAGGCCTTTCTCTTTTTCAAATAAATAAAATCTTAAAAGGAAGGCGGTTGCCAGTGTGCTCCTGGGAGGTACACAGCGACCCTGGGCTTTTTCTGGTGGGGTCTGTGTCTGATGCCTGGTGGGAACTGCGGAGTGCCAGGGCCAGGAGAGTTCTGCCGGTCCCCTGGGCAGGCTTCCCGCGGCACAGCCCCGTCATGGCCGCTCTCTGTCCCCGCAGATTCCCCCGCCTGCACAGCGCGGTGATCCGGACCTTTGTTCTCGTGCAGCACTACGCCGCCGCGCTGATGGCCGTGAGCGGCCTGCCGCAGATGAAGAACCACACCTCCGTGGAGACGCTGGAGATGGCACAGAACCTGCTGCACGCCCCCGCCCGCTGCCCCCGCGGCCACGGGCTCATGGTGCTGCTGCGGGTGCCCTGTGCGCCGCTGGCCGCCATGGCCTACCAGCGTCTGGCCCATGTGCGGGCACGCCTGGCGCTGGAGGAGCGCTTCGAGATCATCCTGGGCAACCCCAGCACGGGCGTCACGGTGGGCAAGCACTTCGTGAGGCAGCTCCAGGTGGGCACCCAGGCAAAGTGTGGGAGGGCGCCTTGGAGGCCAGCGAGGGCCAGTGGGCTCTTGGGTCCCCGCCGGCCCTCCAGCCTGCCGCTGGGGCTTCTCCTCCAGGCGCTGGCGACAAGCGCTGGTTCCCAGAGCTCATCCCAGAGTCTAGCCCAGCGTAGGTTTTCACTAAACCTGGGGAGATTGCAAAGCGTTAGGGAACACAGGGAGGTGGAACAAGTGAGTGACAGCAACAGAAAATGTGGCACACGGAGCCGGGCGTCCTGGGACAGAGGATGCTCCCGCCCACACACGTGCTCTCCAGCACTTAGTACCACCCAGTTGGTGCGTTCAAGATGAGGGCACGGTGGCTGATTAGCCTCGTGGTGGACATTCCTGGTTGCCATAGCCTGGTGTAGCCTGGGTCGGTAGATTTGGCTCCTGACCCCCGCTTCCTGCTAGTGCAGACCTGGGAGGCGGTGGTGACAGCTCAGCAGGAAGCCTGGCTTGTGTTCCTGGCGCCCAGCATCAGCCAGGCTTATGGGGAGTGAGCTAGTGGGGCTCTGCCGACCCTCCCCTGGCTCTGTCTCGCTCTTCCGTATCTTGTCTCTCAGAAGAATACGTACAGTGTAGGAAAGACTCTGACATTCTGAGAGAACATGATTGCCTGCCATACCAGGAGCTCTATCGCAGGACACAACAGGAGGGTCCCTGGCGCTGGGCTGACCCGGGGTGAGGAGTCTGTGGACCCCAGCTCTTTCTGATTATCTGCAGATGTGGCAGAACATTGAGGATGCAACGTGGAGACCTCAGACCTACCTGGAGTTGGAGGGCCTGTCTTGCATCCTCATCCTCAGTGGGGCTGACCCACTCGGGGAGTCCTTGCCCAGGTGAGGCTGGGAGTCTACTCTGTGTGTGTCAGCTGGGCTACCACCGCCTGACACCAGGGGGCACCCTTCCCACCCATGGTCATGGCATGTGCGCTAATTCTCAGGTGCTTCCAGCAGAAAGCACTGAGGACAGGCCACATTTTTCTGACTGGGTTTATGGGTTGCTAGGAAGTTGGGGGAGGCTGCTGCTGGAACCTCGGCCACTTGGTCTGTTGGATGTTTTTTGGGGGATCTGTGCCACACAGACAGGTGCTTGGGACAGACGGTCAGTGGGCCTTCTGTGAGGCAGTGGCTTGAATTACTAGTGTGTGTAGGGGTGTAGCATCAAGGTGCAGCGTATTAATCCACTGCCTGCAATGCCAGCATCCCCAAATGAGCGCTGGTCCTGGCCCCAGCTTCTGATCCCACTCCTTGCCAATGCGCATGGATGAAACAGCAAGTGCATGGGTTCCTGCACCACGTGGGAGACTTGAATGGCATCCCGGGCCCTCATCGTGCAGATGGGATGTCTGTGTTTCTCTGTCTCTCTGTAACTCTGCCTTTCAAGTAAAGGAATCTTCAAAGGAAGTTGGAGTTATTGGAGGCTGTGTCACATGGGTGTGGCGGAGCCGGGTCCAAGCCCCACATTGGCCCAAAAGTCATTGCTGCCTCCGTTATGTGCAGCACAAACCAAGACACACGGCAGGTGCTGCTCAGGCTTGCCATGGAGCCGATGGTGGCATGAAGGCTTGTGGACGGGTGGGTGGCTTCCCATGGGCATGGGTACTGGGGTCATAACAAGCAGGGTAGGGGGCCCCTGATCCCTGCCATTCTGGGTACCAAGAGCAGCACCTGCCTGGCAGAGGGCGCCCCCTGAGCTCCAGCTCCTGCTGCCGCTAGGTCGCTGAGGTACTGTGACCTGCGCCTCATCAACTCCTCATGCTTGGTGAGAACGGCCTTGGAGCAGGAGCTGGGCCTGGCCGCCTACTTCGTGAGCAGCGAGGCCCCGCCGGAGAAGGTGGCCACGAGTGAGGCCTTAGAGAGCGACGCCGAGAAGCTGAGCAGCACGGACAATGAGGAGGAAGAGCTGGGGACTGAAGGTGAAGCCCAGCTGCACCCCAGCTCCCCCCCCCAGGGGTCCTGACCCTGATACCTCGGCTTGGGGTCTGGGAGTCGTCCTGCGCCTCTGCCTGCGCAGAGCACAGCTGCCGCCTGCCCCCCACACCCTCATCTGCAGGCTCCCAGGTCCCATGCCGTGTAGACCCTCTAGGGGAGAGTGGCCTAAGGCGTGTGGCTGTGGTCCTGGGGTGATCGGAACCAAGGCTGGTCAGGTGAGACACACATTGGTGGAGTGGAGAGACCACTGGCCTGCCCCTTGGTCCTCCTGCTCTGGGGACTCTGACATGGGGACACACGGAGCAATGTCTTCCAACCCCAGGTCCTTGTCTGTGCCTGGCCACGCCCCTGGCATTTCCTGCCCGCTCTCCTGTCCCTGCTGTGCCCCAGCCGCACCCTGAGCTGCATGTTCTCCCAGCCTCTTGGAGCCCCGCAGCCTCCTGCTGGCCTTTCCCAGCTCCTGTCTCCAGGCGTGGGCCCCTGGCCATCTGTACTGATGCAGCACCTTGGAGCTAGGCCTTCCCGCTCTGTGTGTCTCCCTCTTCCTGCCCTCTCGGTGCTCAGGTTTGAGGTCCCTGGAGGACTGCGGGTGGGTAGAGAGAGGGCCATGTGTGCACACATGTCACAGACCACAGAGAGCTGGACACATGGCGTGGGCAGGGGGGCTGTGCGTGTCCAGCGTGTGTGTGTTTGAAGCAGGTTCCACCTCGGACAGGAGGAGCCCGGTGAAGAGGGAGAGGCCTTGTTCCCAGGACTCGGCATCCTCCCCGCTCTCCTCCAGGGCATCCGGTGAGTCTCCGTGGAGAGATGGGAGCTGGACGGGGACTGGGGCTGGGGAGCAACAGGGAGGGGTGGAGGATATCTGCTGGCATGTGCCTCCCTGGAAAGAGGAAGGTGTCGTTGAAGAGCTGGACCCTTGGGAGAGCAGATGTTGGGGTGCTCGGAGGCTAGGGGACCAGGCTGGGGTACTCATAGGCTGGGGGATCAGGTTGGGGTGCTCGGGGGCTGGGGGACCAGGTTGGGGTTATAAGGGGCTGGGGACCAGGCTGGGATGCTCAGAGGCTGTGGGGCCTGGGTGAAATGCTTGGAGGCTTGGGGACTCAGCTGGATCATGCTCGGAAGCTTGGGGCCTGGCTGCTCCTGTTCCTAGTCTGGGATTGTGGGTCTGGGCCACAGCATCCTGGGGCCATCTTGGGGTGGCAGCCTTGTCCTCAGTGCAGGCGTTGCCATGAGATGTGTGTTTCCAGGGAGGAGAGCAGCCCGGGGTGAGATGTCCTTGCCCAGATGAGTGGACACGGGACACTGCTGCAAGGACTCATGGCCCTGGCTGGGCTCGGGACCATGCTGGGGGAAGAGGGAAGGTGACAAGATGCCCCACGCGGTCCCTGCCCCGAGGGCCTCCAGCCTCAGGAGGGCACAGAGCAGGGGTGCTTGTCTCCCTGCCAACAGCACTCGTCGAATCAGGGAGCTCGGGAGGGTCCCTGCTCACGGAAGGGTGTGTTGGTGGCGGGCTCATCCTTGTGCGTGAAGACCATGACAGCGATTGTGTCACGATGCTTTAATGCTGTTTCTATATGCACATGTGTGTGCACATACACGCACATGGGTGAAGAGGTGCGAGGTTTGCCTGTGTGGGAGAGCAGTTGAAGGTGTTCCAGGTAGAGGCAGCATTAGGGGTGTGACTTTCTGGAAGCAGCCAACCCTGGCAGGGCCCTGGGGAGAAGGTGTCCTGCGTGGGAGGAACTTGCTGGGTGAGCGGGCAGGCTCTAGGGGTTGCAGCCTGGTCTGCCAGGAGCTTGGCCCACGCAGGCTTTGGCTGCCTTCTCAGCCCCAGCAGCTCCTGGGTGGAGCCCAGCCTCCTGCATAGTGGCCTGGTGCTGTGGCCAGCAGCCTGTGACCCACAGGCCAAGGGTCCGTTCGGAAAAGCCCAGGTCCACTGCTACCAGCCTTCTGTCACCCCAAACAGCTCAGGAAACGGCTGACGGCTTTGGGGGGCTGACCAGCTTCTCTCTCTCCTCAGGCTCTGCACTGGCTGGTGAGGCCATGGCTCCACCAACGGGGCCTCCCCAGGGAGAGCAGGGCAGGTCTCCCCCTTGCCAGGAGGGCAGGGTCCCTGGAGAGAAGCCGAGAAACCGGCCGGGTCAAGGCCCAGCGGTAGCTACCAGCAGACACAGTAGCCTGCAGGTGGCGGTCACTTCATCCTCCCAGCTGTCATCCTGGAGTTCGTCCTCATCCACAGCGCCCACCGCTGACCCATTCGTCCTGCAGACTTCACAGTGCTCCCTGACCAAGGCCTGCCGACAGCCGCCCATCGTCTTCCTGCCCAAGCTTGTCTATGACATGGTCATGTCCACCGACAGCAGCGGCCTGCCCAAGGCTGCCTCGCTCCTGCCCTCGCCCTCGGTCATGTGGGCCAGCTCCTTCCGCCCTATGCTCAGCAAGACCATGACGTCCACGGAGCAGTCCCTCTACTACCGGCAGTGGACAGTGCCCCGGCCCAGCCACATGGACTACGGCAACCGGGCTGAGGGCCGTGGGGACAGCTTCCACCCCCGCCGGCTGCTGCTCAGTGGGCCCCCCAAGGTGGGTACTGCACCTGCTGTCCCCGGTGCGGCCAGACGCAGGCGGTCCTGGGCCTGAGCACGTCTGCTCATTCAGTCTCACTGTGGGGTTTTTCTTATGGGTGGGAACTGGGACTTGCCTGCTGTCTTGGCCAGGGGACCCTGGCTTTCAGACGACACGTCCAGCTTCCCACCGCCTTCCATCCCCGCCTGTCTCAGCTCTTCCCCAGCTCGGCGCTCTCCCCTCTCTGCCACTTTGCTGGCTCAGCCCTGAGTTGCCATTCCTGTGTTTGCAGACCGGGAAGACAGGGGCTTACCTGCAGTTCCTCGGTATCTTGTCCCGGATGCTCATCCGGCTGACGGAGGTCGATGTCTATGATGAGGAGGAGGCCCATATCGGTGAGTTCTCTGTTCGCTGACCGTTGGGCCCCGCGTTCGCTCACGTGCTGTCTCGGCTGACCATCCGGGAGGGACTCGCGGGGACTTGCAGGACCCTTTTGTCTTTTGATTTGTGGTCTTGTCTCCCAGTAGCAGAGTTGTCACTTGCAGGCCTGGGTAGGGGTGATGGGACTGAGCCTAGAGCCTTTGCTGTGAGTGGAGTACCTGCTGTGTGTAGGGTGCTGTGCTCGGTACTTCCCAGAAAGCACCACGTTCTGTATGATGCCGTGACATGGACGTGATGGGCTCAGGGCCCCGCTAAGCTGGGGTTAACCCGCCGTGACTGTCACCTGTGGAGAGCAGAGTCGCTGCGGGCTGCGAAGCGCTTGCAGCTGGGGCACAGTCTGTTCTCGCTGCGGGAACAGAACCAGCCATGGTCACGGCACGGGCTCTGTGAGTGGCCCCTGCCAGGGCGTATCAGCTTGGTCTGGGCGTGAGCTGCAGCTCTGGGCATGAGAGCGTGTGTGGATGCCTCTGTAGCAGAATGAGAGCTGCCAGCTGACTGTGGGCTGCTGTCCGCTGCTGCTGGGCCGTGGAGGTGTGGACCAAGGAAGCCAGCCAGCCCTTGGTCTTCCCTGGTGTGGAAGGGAACTTTTAGCCAGACTGTGGGTTTGCTGTGTTCCTTGCCTTCTGGTTCACATAGCAGATACAGTCATGACTTGGGCCACTTGGTCGCAACCCATATCTTGCATGCTGTCTTCTCACCTCCGTTTCTTCTTCTGCAACAGGAGGCTGCTCCTGCTGGGCAGCTGTTGTCACACATGAGGTTACGTACCTGCAGCCCTGAGCCCCTGTTAATTTCCCAGAGAATACTGCTTCCCTCTCACGGGCAAGCACACTGCCCCGTGTAGAAGGACACACGTGTGTGCTTGAATGTTTCTATTTTTGTAATCTGTGATATTAGTAGGTTATGGACTGTGAAATGGACCAAGTACATTATTATGCCCATGAGCCAGTAAACAGTGAGTGCCATGAGCTGTCCCCATTGTGATGGAAGGCAAATGTAAGAGTGTGGTTTGGGCTCCAAGTGGTGCTGGCTTTGAGAAGGGGAAGGCCATGTGCCAGGGTGCTGGGTGCACCTCCTGGAGGTGGCACAGCGTGGCGGAGCCACATTGGCTGGGTGCGTTTGGATGTTTGGACCCCTAGTAAGGCCAGCGGAGGGCTGGTGCTGGGCAGAGTAGAGTTATAGGACCCTCCTGGGAGCTGTGGAGGGCAGCACGAGGGGCCCAGGGCAGATCTGGTCTCATGAGAAGCACAGCAAGCATACCATCTCAACCAAGGAGATGTAGGTATGACTTTTTGCCTCTTGGAAAGCTGCGGGCAGCCCCTCTGCACGCAGTGACAATCCAACACCCTCGTTTCCTGTGTCGCCACATACCCGCACTGCTGCCCACCTTGCAGGCCTCAGAGAAGAGTCAGACTGGCATTATCTGCAGTTCAGCGACGCCTGGCCGGACCTGGAGCTGTTCCGGAAGCTGCCCTTTGATTACATCATTCACGACCCCAAGTACGAAGACGCTAGTCTGATTTGTACACACACAGCGAGCGTCCCAAATGAAGGTCAGGCGTGCCTCTCCACTCCTCTGTTTCCCACCTCCTTGGGCGCAGCCTGGGTTGGGGTGGGCTCTGTGCTATCAGCCATGAAGGCTGGCGGTGGTGGGTACCTGAGCCATGCCTGAGCCTCGATCACGACCCCGCTGGCGGGGCAGACTGACACCAGTCCCATGAGGGGAGCCTGGCAGCTTAGCAAGTGCCCGGAGGTGATGGCCCCTGCTTGCTCATGGGCACTGGTCAGTGTGCCAGGGCTCTGGTCAGTGTGCCAGGGCTCTGGCCACGGGAGCCTGGAGTTTAGTAGCATTGTCATACACTGTGCCTCCTATCTTGGCGCTCACCATCTTCCAACATTGGCTGCCAGCAGCCAGTGGGAGTGTAAGCACATACTAGGAAAATCTGGGGCGTTCTGTGTGAGAAGCACTCTCCCATCTCCATGTAGACCCCTGGTTTTGTTCTCATTGCTCTCAGATCCCTTTCTGACCGGCTATGATGGAGTTGTAGTGTCTGGTCTCAATCCTGAAGTTTATCTGCTTGGTGGGAGTTGCCTGTGTAGTTGGCACCGATCCCAGTTGTCCTGGGGGTGCGGGTGGGAGTGAGAAGGGCGCCTTGCAGCTAGGTTCATGGCACAGGCCAGGGCCATGGCTGGGAAGCCGCACCTGCAGCGACTCCCTGAGTGTGCCCCAACAGACTGTCATCTTCAGCGGCCGAGCCACCGCTGGGAGCAGACGTGAGACGTAGACCTCACCCGTCCCGAGGGTCCCCCTGCCCAACTGGTTCCTCTGAGCACTGCAGCATGTGGGAGGTTGTGGAAGCCAGGCAGAAAACACACATGCTGCCTCCTGCCACTCCTTAATGCCCGGGCACTTTGTGCAGATGGAGGGGCGTCCCGGAAGCCTGAGGACCTGTATGTGCGGCGTCAGACGGCGCGAATAAGGCTGCCCAAGTACGCAGCCTACAACACATACCACCACTGTGAACAGTGCCAGCAGTACATGGGCCTCCACTCCCGCTACCAGGTAGGCCCTGGGCACGGGTCCAGCCGGCAACTCCACTGCCGTCTCACCCTGCTCACCCTTCTGGAGACACAGTGTTGGAAGCCATGCTTGCTTGGTGCCCTTCAGTGTCCGTGCAAGTCTTGCTGACCCTGTGCAATGGTGAGAAGGGTGGTGTGGGAGAGCCACGGACACTGTTCCTGCTGAGAGGAGAAATCGCCATGCAGTGGGTGTCCACTGCATGCCAGGCAGTGGGCGAGACACACTTTGTCAGTCTTTTCATCCCAGTGTTTTTCTGTAATAGAGATCTGCTGTGGGTCACATATACCTGGCTCTGGCTGCCTCGGGCCCTGGTGTGTGACAGCGAGGCCAGGTCTCTGTGGGCTGAAAAGTGACCTCATGGGATGTTGCTGGGGGCCACGTACTGCCTGTCCCTCTTACAAAGGGATACAACGGGCAGCAGCTTTGAGCTTTCCACCTGTGTTGTAGTAGCCATCCTCTTAGAGCGTATCACTAAAACAATGCAGCTTTCCTGAAGAGGAATTGGAAAGAACTAGCACATTTTTTTTAAAGATTTATTTATTTTTATTGGAAAGGCAGATATACAAAGAGGAAGGGAGACAGAAAGGAAGATCTTTTGTCCGATGGTTCACTCGCCAAGCGGCTGCAATGGCTGGAGCTGAGCTAATCTGAAGCTAGGAGCCTAGAGCTTCTTCTGGGTCTCCCATGCAGGTGCAAGGTCCCAAGGCTTTGGGCCATCCTCTGCTGCTTTCCCAGGCCACAAGCAGGGAGCTGGATGGGAAGCTGGACCACCAGGATTAGAACCGGCGCCCATATGGGAGCCCAGCACATTCAAGGCAAGGACTTTAGCCACTAGGCTATTGTGCTGGGCCTGATTAGCATATTTCAAGAGCTCAGGGTTCACTGGGCTTCTCTGTCAGGGGCTTCCACGTCCCTGGGCTCGACCAGCTGCTCATTATCTGCCCAGCTGTAGACTTTGGGGTCTGTGAGCAGGACCAGAGCCAACTCCCCTCAGAGGCCTAGAGAGGCTGTGAAATGAGGACTCATCTTTGCTGCATATAATGCTTGCCTAATTTATGTTTTTCTTGGAGTTGACAGATTTCTTTCCAAGTTTCAAAATGTGTGTGGAAAGGTTTTCTGGCCAGGGGGCCGTTAGGAGCTGGAAGGGGCTCAGGGGTGAGAGGCTGATGGCTTCAGGAAGTGTGGGTGATGGCTGTGAGGAGCCTTCTGTGTCCTGGCTGGCTTAAGGTGCCCGGGTTCAGGATTGAGAGGGATACCACATCAGACTGGTGAGCAACACCCAGGCCAGGCTGCCTCCCGCTGCCCCTCCATGCTTCTGCCTGTTCTGTCCTCCCAAAGTCCCAGACTTTCCTAGGAGACTTCCTCAGCTGTGTCCCCATTTGCTTTCTCCCCACATTCCAGCCTCTTAGTCCCTCCTCCCTGCTCCCCAAAGTTCTGTGTGTCCCCAGTAGGTCCCTGGTGAGAGCAGGAACTGTTGTGTGTGCCTGCCTCCTGGGTACAAGGAGCTGAGGATAAAGCTTTGCTGGAGGCCGTGCACAAAGTGACAGGCACACATTTCCCAGGAAGTGAAGGATCAGGGAGGTGATGAGGGGCAGGGGAGAGCCCCAGGACTCTGAAGCTAGGTTTCTGTCTTTGAACTTGGTGTAGTTACAGTTCCTACTTCCTAGGCAGATGGAAACCTAGTACATAAACTTCTCAGCCTAGGGTGTCATTGTGTTTAGACATAGTAACCGAAAAAAAAAAAAAGTGAGCTCAAGAGTCTGCATGCTGTGCGTACAGAAAGGGGCTGTGGGTCGGAAGCAGGATCCAGAGGGCAGGGTGGCTGGAGTGAGGGGTCTGGTAAAGTGTGATTGGCACTGGGGACGAGCATGCTCTGGCTGTCTGGGTAGGGCCTCGCCTTGGGAGTGCTCTCCCTGTAGCCAGACCTGGGTGCCCACGCTTGGTACTGAAGGTACCCTGGGGGTTCCCGGTGGTCTGGCTTCTTCTGGGAAGCCAGACAGACTCTGATGACAGGCTCTGTCCTCTCCCCTCGTACCCCAGCTCTATGAGTCCACCCTGCACGCCTTTGCCTTCTCTTACTCCATGCTAGGAGAGGAGATCCAGCTCCACTTCATCATCCCCAAGTCCAAGGAGCATCACTTTGTCTTCAGCCAACCTGGAGGCCAGCTGGAGAGCATGCGCCTGCCCCTGGTCACAGACAAGGTATGGGCTTGGGGACCTCCTCCCTGCCTGCATGTGGGCAGGTGCCTGAACCTGGAACCAGTGCAGGTGGAATGGGGCAGAACCCAAGAGGCAGGTGCAGGAGGCAGGTGCAGCCCATGGGCTAGGGAATCGCTCAGCTTTAGGTTTGGACCTCGCTCTACCATTTCCTCATCATGTTGCTTAAGTATCTTCAAGTCTCAGTGTTCGCCATGGGCAACTGCAAGAACAGAGAGCATATCTAATACCAGAGGGCATTGAATCTGGCTGACTCAGTGCCAGTTGGTTTTTGCTGCGTGGCCAAACAAGCTTATGACTTGTGATTTTGGGGCCAGCGGTGTGTACAGGGCTCTGCTGGATGGCTGCTCTTGGCATGGTGAGGTGTCCAGTTTCATGGTGGGCTGGGTGGCCCACAGTGGCCCTGCTGCCTAGGTCTGTTCCCCCTCAGCAGGATAGAGGAGCTTGAGCCGACGGAGACTGGCTGTTTGGAGACAGCACACAGGCACGCTTCCTGTGTGTGATGGGTAGATGCATATCATCAGCCAATAGTGACTTATGAGATGTGGAAATAGACCATCCTATGCACCAAGCTGCAAATCCACACTGCAGAGTGAGATAACTACTTACAAAGAAGCCCACACATCACGCCTGTTCTTTTGCAGAGCCAGGAGTACATAAAGAGCCCAACGTTCACCCCAACAACTGGCCGGCACGAGCACGGGCTCTTCAACCTGTACCACGCGATGGATGGCGCCAGCCACTTGCACGTGCTGGTGGTCAAGGAGTATGAGATGGCCATCTACAAGAAGTACTGGCCCAACCACATCATGCTGGTGCTGCCCAGCATCTTCAACAGTGCCGGCGTAGGTACGGACCCCCTGCGCAGGGCCATGTCCCTGAGTGAAGACAGGACCACAGTCTAGGGATGAAAGAGCTGCACTTTTCACATCAAATTCTTTGTACTTTAGAAGATGTATTTATTTATTTGCCTACTTACTGATTTGAGAGAGTAAGTGGGCTCCCACCCACTGGTTCATTCCCCAGATGCCCACAGCATTCAGGGCTAGGCTGAGCTGAGGCCACGAGGGGGCTCCGATCCCTGCTGCCTCCTGGGGTCTGCACCGGCCGCAAATTAGAGGCAGAACCCCAATTCAGCACTCTGATGTGGGTATCTTAATTAGCATCTTCACTGCTGAGCGAAATGCCTGCTCCTGCTTCAAAAGCTATTTTATTTGACTCTGATATATTCCTTTTTCATGTGTAGTTCCTGACTTAATTCATGTGTTAGAAATACCTGCTGTTAGAAAAGAGGACAGAGGCAAAATGTGGAACATGTGTTTCCTCCTGGTTGCTGGCCAGTGGGAGGACACTCGGGCCTGGTTTGGCCTGGGCTGCAGCCCTGTTGAGCAGGTGCACAGGACTCCGAGTTGGGTGAAGGTGGGTGTGGAGTGGATCTGAGTGGGGTAGCTGCCTGTTGCAGGAGCCGCCCACTTCCTGATCAAGGAGCTGTCCTATCACAACCTGGAGCTGGAGCGGAGTCGGCAGGAGGAACTTGGGATCAAGCCGCAGGACATCTGGCCTTTCATTGTCATCTCTGACGACTCCTGTGTCATGTGGAATGCCGTGGATGTGGACTGTGCTGGGGAGAGGAGCAGGTGCGATGCCACAGGACCCCAAAGGGGTCCTAGTGGTAGTATCCACCAGGGTCCCTAAGGGGATGGCCAAGGCATGGGCAGAGGTTGGCTCAGAGTGAGCGCACCCTCTAACCAACGCCTTCCTCTGGGAATGAGCTTTAGCAGCTCCTAGATGCCCCTCTTGCCCCTGGCAGTCCCTGGCCCTCTCCACCAACCTGTCCTCTAACTCCTGTCTTGACCACCACCATCACTGTGGGTCTAAGCAAAAATAATTTTTCCAGTAGCACATTTCTTGTCTTTGCAAAGCATGGTAACACATGTACTGAGGGTTTGGCTGCATCATGGGCCCCAGGTGTGTTCTGCATGTGGCGTGGAAGCCTGCTTGGATGGTGACTAAGCAGTAAAGGTACAGCACCTGGTAGGCTTTGTCTGCACCTGTCCTGTCAGGAAGCAGAGGGCCCTGGTGTCCCAGGGCCTGGCAGCCTTGCTGTGCTCACAGGCTGACCTCAGGACATCTGTCTTTCTCCCCTGAGCAGGGAATTTTCCTGGTCGGAGAGGAATGTGTCCCTGAAGCACATCATGCAGCACATTGAGGCGGCGCCCAACATCACACACTATGCCCTGATTGGCATGCGTAAGTGGTCCAGCAAGACCAGGGCCAGCCAGGTGCGGGAGCCCTTCTCCCGCTGCCATGTGCATGACTTCGTCATCCTGAATGTGGACCTCACCCAGAACGTGCAGTACAACCAAAACCGGTGAGCTCCTGCCCTGGGTGGGGAGGCAGCTGGCCACACTTCCTGGGCCCAGCACCCAGAGCAAGGGGCACCCTGAGACCCAGGCCCTGGGGAACCAGCAGCAGCAGGGGTGGGGAGGCTCCCTGTCCAAGGTGCTGGCCTGGCCCCTGCTGTCAGGCCCTATAGACTTCTCAGAGCTGGGTGAGTCTGTGTGTTTACCATCATTCAACCAGAGGTGGGCACTGGTATGGCACCTGTCACTTCTGTGATGCTATAACCCAAATCAGAGAGCCTGGCTTCAAGTCATAGCTCCTAATTCCAACCATGGCGTGACTTCCCCGCTTGCCCAGCTGCAGAAGGATCTCATGGGACACGAGTAATTTGCCACTCCGTGTTGGCCAAGGGCTCTCCCTGCCAGTGGGATGACGCTCGTGCCCACAGGCTCTCTGCAGCCCTGCAGGAGGCTGGGCTCGGCCACAGATCAGCTCGGCAATTGGGACCTGTGGCTTTGCTTCCCATGGCTGTCAAGTGTGGCTGAGATTTTGCTCCCTGGGACTTGGTGTTGGTTGGTTCTTGTCTAACAGCGAAGCAGCCCTGGGCCCGCAAGTTCATAGGGCAGGGGTGGAGAAGGCACCTGTGCCTCTCGCGCAGAGATCTCACAGTGCATCCCATGTCTTCACATGGCCAGTTTTGCCTCACGGTCCAGGAACTCTGCCCTGGCTCCCCTTGGTATTTAGGGCTTGACCGGGGTCCCATCCACTCCTCCTATGACCCGGCAGGTTCACATGTGATGACGTAGACTTCAACCTGCGGGTGCACAGTGCCGGCCTGCTGCTGTGCCGATTCAACCGCTTCAGCGTGATGAAGAAGCAGATTGCCGTAGGTGGGCACAGGTCCTTCCATATCACGTCCAAGGTGAGCATGCCGGGTGGTCACACCCTCTTCCCGAGCTGCCTGGTGTGGATGCTGAGCCGAGAGCTGTCAGGGGAGGATTAGACACTGGGCACGGCCACTCCAGCTGTCCATTGGCCATGGATATAGGAAGTGAGACACTCCCTCAGGTTTCTTTGTTACCCTTGGACTCTCGTGCATGTCCTGCAGGTTCCTGCTTGCCCGTGACCCCCACCAGGCTCTTCTCTGTCCCACTGAGGTTGGGAGTGTCTACTTGGATAAATGTGGGTGGCATGACAGACTTGAACATGCAGGTGCCCACCTTGAAGCCAGCACTGGCAGGGAGAGCCGTGGTCTGAGATCTACCCTTTCTTGCAGAGAGGCCTGGGCAGCCAGCCCGCAGAGGCCGGGGTCCTCCAGGCAGCTGGATGGGCTGTTGGGTCTCCATCTCACCTTCCTCCTGCCTGGTGGACTGGAGCCCGTTCCTCCATCCTGCTCCCTCTTGCGTCTTGCCCTGATGACTTCAGCCAGTTCCAGTGCCAGCCCCCTTTTCCACAAACTCTACAGGCCTTGCCTCTGCTGAGCTGCACCTGCTCCACCCTTCAGCCTCCCTCGTTCTTGATGCTCTTGCCCAGGAGCAAGATGTCGCTAAGGGGCCTGCCTTGCTGAAAGACCCTGGGCATCACTCTCTCGAGTCCCCTAGCCTCACTTCACCGTTGAGATTTTTAAATTGAAATTATGTTGTATTTATGGAGGATTGAAATCTTTATCAAATCCCCACAGCAAAAACCTTGATGTGCCTTTATTTGTTATTATTTTAAAGGATTTATTTACTTGAAAAGTAGAGGTACACACACACACACACACTCTCTCTCTACCACCATCATCATCATCATCGTCATCACAGCCATTTTCCATTTGCTAGTTACTCCAAACAGCTGGGCCAGGCCAAAGCCAGGAGCTCGTCTGGGTTTCCAGGTGGGCCTTGGGTCGTCCTCTGCCACTTCCCAGGTGCGTTGGCAGAGAGCTGGATTGGAAGCGGAGCTGCCAGCACTTGAATTGACATGCTGACACTGAATATTGGATGCTGGTGTTAACACACTGGGCTGTGCCAGGCTCTTGGATACATGTTTAAAATCTGTTCTTTTATGTTCCTTGCTGTCATTTTTTAAAGGGTATGTTGTCTTTTGTGTGTGTGGTGTCTTTTTTCGCATTTTTAACACGCCTTGTTTTCCCATTAGTGTTTATTGCACAGTGGTGACTTGCAGGAAATCCAGCGATGTTTCATAGTATTTCCTGAGTCCCTTGATTTCTTTTCAGTCAGTTGTTCCGTATTGGCTGAGCGCACCAGTCCCTGGGTGCCCAGTGGCTGAGATGGTGCTAGATCAAGCCTTAGGAGGTCCATGGTGTGGGCATCATGGCAGTACAGTGTGCCTCACGGGGAGCCTGACCCTATGGGCAGGAGGGGCCTGGCACTGTCCCTGAGAGTCCTGGAGGCACATGGGCGACAGTGCCAAGGGGCAGGACAAGAGGTCATATGGAGAGGCGGGGTACTCTGCAGAAGTTGTCTGGGCTTACTAGCTGGGGGAAAGTTCTAGACTGCTCCAGGAGGGCAAAGGACCTGGTAAGTGTTTCTGTGGAGGATCTGTGAATAGTTCTGCTGTCTGTGGCCAAATGGTGGGGAGGCCAGGATCTTGGGGTTCAGGAGCAGCTGGCATCTCGCTGGAGGCCCTAAGGCCTAGGGGGCTCTCTGGTGCCCTGCAGAATGGCAGCCCATCCTCGTGTAGACTGAACGCACTGGTTAGCCTTGCTGAGCCTCACACCCGTTGCTTCCCCAACCGAGGATGTTCTCTGCATTTCCATTACATTCCAGAGCTACCCAGCAGCCGTGTCGGGACCCCTCCCCTTTGCCTGAGCTCCCTCCTGGCCCCAGGGTGCAGGGAAGGGGCCCCGACATGTTGCTCCCCGTGTAGGTGCCCGAGAACGCCACGGCCGTGGTGCCGGCGCAGTACATCTGTGCGCCCGACAGCAAGCACGCGTTCCTGGCTGCGCCCGCCCAGCTCCTGCTCGAGAAGTTCCTGCAGCACCACAGCCACCGCTTCTTCCCGCTCTCCCTCAAGAACCTGGGCCACCCCGTGCTGTCCGTGGACTGCTACCTTAACCTGGGCCCTCAGGTAAGGCCGAGGGGGCCTCGCCCACCCAGAAGGTGCCGGGATGCCTGTGCGTGGGGTGGGAGTCGGGTCTGAGAAGTCAGTTGCAGTCATCCTTAGTTTGGGGGAGTCCGAGGATCCCCATGGGTCCCCACATCGGCAGGCGCTCACTACAGGGCATCGAGCTGGCATCTAATGTCCCACGTGCTGAGATAGCCTTGGTACAACACCAAACTTGGGGCAGACGCGGGGAACACAGCCAGCCTACCACGCTCAGTGAATCACGATGCCAGGAAGTCTCTGCGTGTGTACCACAAATGCAGTTTCCCTGTACCTTTTTCTTTTCTTTTCTCTTTTTCTCTAACATTTATTTATCTATTCTAAAGACAGAATTAGAGGGAGACACACAGAGATCTTACTGTTTCACTCCGTAAGTTGCCACTGTGGCAGTGGCTGAACCAAACCAAACCCAGGAGCCAGAGGCTTCCTCCAGATCTCTCTCAGTGCTGGCAAGGGCCCAATGGTTTGGACAGGCCTTGACTGTTTTCCCAGGCACAGTAGCAGGGAGCTGGTCCAGAAGTGGAGCCAGCTGGGTCTTGAACTGATGCTTGTTTGGGGGTGCCACCACGGCAGGCTGCAGCTTGCCCCACTGTGCCACAGCAGTGGCCTCTCTACATTTTTTTGTGTGGTTGTTGGAACCCGGAGACACTGAGGGCCAGCTGTACTTACTGGTTTTGTCTCAAATGTTTATCCTGCTTGACAGATGACAAAGTTCAGGCTGAAAGAGTGGAGACAGTTTTCCCAAATTTAAGAAATTAGGCATCCAGGCTGGTGGGGAGACTAAAGCTTTTCTCCGGATCAGGGACCGCCTCCAGGCTGTGGGAAGAGCGTGGCGTGTTGTGTTGGGCCCCCAGGCCCTGCGCTTGACTGGCCACTGTCTCCCATGGCCATTTCAGGTCTCCGTCTGCTACGTGAGCTCCAGGCCCCACTCTCTGAATGTCAGCTGCCGCGACCTGGTGTTCAGCGGGCTGCTGCTCTACCTCTGTGACTCTTTTGTGGGTGCTGGCTTTCTGAAAAAGTTCCACTTTCTGAAAGGTAACGTGCTGCGGTGGGCGAGACTGTGCTTGACTTGGGTTCCCTGGGGGTCCCCTGTGGCATGCACCCTGGTCCCTACAGGGAGGGAAGGCGTGGGCCCCAGGGGCCTGTCCCGGTAGAGATGACACATCCCTTGTCTGTTGGACAAAAGGTAGGTGGCTTCCACTGAGGCTTTCCTTCGCATCCAAAGCCTTCCCTTCAGCACTTGGGTAACCCAGCGGTCCCTCCTTGCTGCCAAGTTGTTTGCTCCACTGGCTGGCCTGACCCCTCCCTGTCCTCGGGAGAGGATGACCGTGCTGAGCACCTGTCTGCGTGCCCGTCCTACTTGGAGCTGACCTGCACCATCCCTCCCTTGCTCTTCTCTCTGACCTTGGGGATGGTGGAGAGGTTTCCCGTCAGCCCCTGCTCCTGGGGAAGCCTTCCTGGAAGGGCTGAGCTGGTACGTGTAGGTTTGCGCAGTGGCTGAAGTGTTGCCTGGGATGCCAGCTTTCCATCTCTGCGTGCCTGGTGTGGATCCTGGCACCTTGGCTTCAGGTCCAGCTTCCTGCTGGTGTGCTCCTGGGAGGAAGCTGCTGCTGATGGCTCAACGCTGCCACCCACGTGGGAGACCACACGGCCTTCCAGCCTGGCCCAGCCATGGCTGTCGCTGGCATTTGGGTGCATGAGCCAGTTGATGGGGAAAAAATTGGCTTATTATCTCTCTGCCCATCAACACATGAAATGAAAACAAATCTGAAAATTAAAAAAAAAAAAAAGCCATAATTGATGGGCAGCAGTAGCCTAAGAGTTGAGAGGGGAAGAGAACACCCATGGCTGGCTAGGTGGGGAAAAGCGGGGCCGCCCTGGCCTGGGTAGGTGGAGCAGGGGGCTTTAGCAGCGAGGTGGGATGTGAACCCAGGGCTGGCGCTGAGAGGCCAGCCTCTCTCCTGCGCGCTGCCTCTGGTCAGGTCTTTGACCTGTCTCCCCCTGCCCAGTCCTGGGGGCGGTGTCTGTGCCTCCTGAAGGAGACCCGCCTTTGGCCTCCCTCCCAAGCAGCACCCCGTGGGGTCCGGGCAGGAGCCCTCACCTGTGTTCTTCCGCCCATGCCTTGGGTCCCCCAGGCGCCACCTTGTGCGTCATCTGCCAGGACCGGAACTCGCTGCGCCAGACAGTGGTGCGCCTGGAGCTGGAGGAGGAGTGGCAGTTCCGCCTGCGGGACGAATTCCAGACAGCCAACGCCGCCGAGGACCGGCCACTCTTCTTTCTCACAGGACGGCACATCTGAGGGGAACAGCTGCGGCACTGGCGCGGTCAGAGCCCTCAGGAGGCCCGTGGAGGGCTGCAGCTGGACCACCAGGGACATCTGTGCAGGTGCGCCCTCGTAGCAGGTGGCAGGCCCCGAGCTGACCAGCAATGGAGCCCGAGACCCTCGGCCCGGGCTGGCTCTGGGGTCGGGTTTAGGAAGGACCAGCTTCGCCTCCCCGCCAGCTGTCCACCTGCTTTCGGCCTGGCCTCTCAGGCGTGTGGAATTGCAGGCTGAGGCGGTGCCGTCAGCTCCAGCCTTGTGGCCTCCTGTCAAACGATATTCCAAAGAACTGTTCTGGCTTTAAAGGCTGAAGCCAAAGAAAAGAAATAGATCCTTCCATGACGTGTGGTTCCCTGTAACTTAGCTCTGTCAAACCAGCCCTAAGGCTTCAAACTCGAGAAAGGAAACTCCCTCCTCAGCGAGTCCGTTAAAACAGTGTAGGATAAATGCCCCACGGCGGGAGAGGGAGACACAAAGAAGCTTTTCCAAAAAAAAAATGGGCTTGGGGGAGAAAGTGGGGGTTAAGGGAGTTGCCCTAAATCTGCCTTACAAAGGAAGGAGAGTCAAACAAAACAACCAACGGGCTGGATGATGAGTTGGGGAGAACTAGGCTGAGGCCTGTGGGAATCGAAGCTCACTCTGTCCCTTTAGTTGCTCATTTCCTGGTTGCTTTGTGGGGAGAGAAGCTGGATTGTTCCATACAACACCTGCCCTTCCAGCTCCCAGCGGGTGGGCTTCCAACAGGCACCTCACAGCGCCCCCTGCAGGCAGATGTGCGGCCAGGTGCGCAGTGAGGCTTGGTTGAACCCTGCGTGTGCAGTCCTCCTCCGCGCTGGGGAGACCGAGGGATGCACAGAGACACAGGGCTAGGAAGCAGTGGAGGCATAACCCACATGCCTGCCTTCCCAGCCTGGTCTGCCCACCTTCCCTCGCTGCCTTTGAAGTGGCCCCTAACTGCAGGGAAAGCCTAAAGATAGTATAACACGCTTCTCTGTCCAGCTCAGACACTTAGAAGCACTCTGGTGGGTCATGGGCAGGAAGACACGATTTTAATGGATGATGCCAAAGAGTTCACATTCACCTTTTTCCACGGAGATGTTTCAGGTCAGTGTTTATAAGGCAGTCACTTTGTCATTATTCCTGTATTGGAATAAAAACTGACCTTTAGTTCTATTTGTGTTTTGTAAATAGTGGTTTCTGTATCATCCCCACCGTATTAGTTAATTTAAACTTGAACTAATATTCTTGGTGTGTCCCAGCCTTATAAATAAAGCTTGTGATGCATTTACTGTCTCTTGATTAATTGCAATGTTTTGATGGGAAGACATGTGGCAGTGGTCTCTGGAAGATAAGGCTTCAAACTCAAGAAAGGAAACTTGTAGGAGAAAGGCAATGAACTCAAAGCTATCTGTTAAACATAAAGTGACTAGAGTCCAGTGGGCACACCCAGTAGGACAGCCTGGAAGAGCAGGCAGGGCTCTGCAGGCAGGAGTGCTCCAGGGAGGGAACTGGCAAGGATGTTGCTGACTCAGGCTGGTCAGTTCCTGTCCAGAACATTCTTAGCCATAGCTTGCCTCGTTGCCCATGTGGATGATGGGTAAGGAGGCCCAGAGACACTACAAGTGTTTCATTAATGGTGTTCCCTTCAAATGGAAGGAAGCATGGGAAGCTGCACACGAAAGTTCCTTGTTCCTTTGTGTGTGGTTTGAATCTCTTGCCCCTTGGGCTTGGCATCAAGCAGATGGTGGACAGTGTGGCTGAGCTGAGCCTAGGGCTGAGCAGTCCTTGACGGGAGCTCTGCTACTTTTTGACATGGCTTCCCAGAGAACCAGTGTTACCTTTTGGAAAGTGCTCCCAAGGCCCATGAGTCGCTGCTGACCCCAGAAAGTGGCCGTATGCTTGTGAGGGAAGCGGCCTGGGCTAAAACGGGGACGGAGCCCTAAACAGAACCAACTTCCATCTCCTGATAACGGTGTTCTAGGACATGAAGAGTGACAGTTCTGTGCTGGGTTTTACTGCAGTTTCAGGGTTCATTGGTGACCTGGGCACAGCCCATCCTGGCGTGGTTAATATGAAATGTGAACCGTGTTCTGTATGCAACTTGATGGCCTTAAAGAGATGGTATTTGAAGATTCATCCTCTTCTAAATCTTGGGGATAAAATCAAAATCCTTCATTGTTTAAGTTCAGAGACATTAAAATGTTGAAGAATCAATATGAAGCCAGTTGCGGTAAAAAATCCAAAGAAATTCTGTACATGCTTTAATGTCCCAGCTTGTCCTACCTGGCTGATTCCCGTGAGGGGTGTGCTAGCTGCCTGGGAAATCTGTTAGGTGACTAATCACTCCTCATGTCACTTCATGGCTTGTTACTAGGGGCTCAGACAGATGAAATGGCTGAAGTAAGATTGTACAACTGTCATGACAGCCCAAGATCCAGGTCTATGCTGGCATGGCTTCCATCATGTACTTCTGCTGGACACCGTGGAGATCCGGCTTCCGATTGTGCAGCCTGAAAGAGAGGCTGTGGTCCAAGGTTATCTTCAGGGTCGACAAGTTGGACTGTGGTTTTCAGTTTGTTTGCTCCAGCAGCCATCCCTGCTCAGAAGGGATTAGCATTTTAATGAACAAAAACAGTGGGAAAGTCCTGTGCACACTCGTAAGCGGCAGAGGGGGAACACATTCTATGCCTCCATTTGTCATTCACCAAACACACTGTCCCAGTTTCCCTTTCTCTTTCATTCTCAAACTCTTGAAAGCACTTGTGTTTCTCCAAGGCTAGTTGCTTGTTCTGTAAAAAGGCTCTTAGGCTGCTTCAGTCGGCCAGGAAGGGGTGGCTTGGGGACTATTAGGGGCTGGAATGGATCCCCCCAAAACAATGTTGAGGTCCCAAGTCCCAGCCTCTTGGTATGTGGGCGACCACATACCACATTTGGAAAAGAGGAGGGGGGACCATTACTTATATATCATTAATTAGGTTGAGAGAGGGTCCCAACCCTAGTCCTGTGTGCCCTATACCTCAGAAGAGAGGAGAGACACACCACAGGCTCACTTCCAGGGGGCAATGGAGCAGACAGTGCGAGGCTGACTCCACGGCCAAGGACGGCCAAGTCTGGCTGGGTGTCAGGGAGTGGAAGGGTCCTTTGGGAGCACCTGGGGAAGCACGAGCCAGCTGGCACCGCAGTGTCAGATCTGCAGCCTGCGGTGTGGTCCCGGGACCTGTGTGTTGGTGCAGTTGTATAGTTGTGCTGCTGTGTTCTGGCAGCTGCTGCAGAAACAGACCCTGGTGGGCCAGGCTTATGATGTAACCCAGAACAGGATCCTGACACAGCTGACATCAGAGCTCTGGGGCCAAGCTGGACCTCGCCTTTCCATCTGCGCAGGCCAGGGGGGCAGACAAAGCACCCAGCCACATAGATACCTGGTAGTCCCAGAAAGAATCACAATGAATCTGGGTTGCTTGTTCAAACTTTACAGAGGTGAACAGTGTTCCGTCCATGGCTGTGAGGGTGAGCAGCGTCCTGTCCACAGCTGTGTGGGTGAGTAGTGTCCCGTCCACGGCTGTGTGGGTGAGCAGCGTCCCGTCCACGGCTGTGTGGGTAAGCAGTGTCCCGTCCACATGGGGCTGTGTGGGTGAGCAGCGCCCCGTCCATGGCTGTGTGAGCCTTAGGAAGTCATTTGGCTGGCCCTGCCAAAGCCACTGTAGGTGGGACTTGAAATTCAGTATATCCATAGCAGACTAATTTCTATGTCAATAATTCTCTGTGCAAATGATAGTGTCAATATCCAGCAAGAGAGATTGGCCAGCCAGTTAATAACAATGACAGCTACCATATATACATTTTTCTTTCAAAAAATGTACCCCAAGTTTGGTAGCAGCTCTCTGCATGGCAAGGCTGGGTGAATGTTTTCCTTGCCCCCTCTCTTCTCTCTCCCTTTCTGTCTTTGGAGATCAGTGTAGATTTGCAAGTGGGGTTCAGAGAGCATGAGGAGTCAGGTCCCTCTTGTAAGCCTTTATGCTGATGGCTTGTGGAGATAGAGCGACTTCATGGCCATGTGCATCCTTATCCATCCACACAAAGTCCACACGTGCCGGAGTCCAGGATGTCCAGTACTAAGACCATCTGCCTCTTCATAGTTCTGACAGCTGCTCTTTATGGTGATCTGCGGACTGTGGTGTCGGGGGGATGTTAGGTATTGTGCGAAGAAGTGTGGTGCATTTATGATGTCACCTGGTTCTGAAACCCCGCGGATTGTGGTTGTGACAAAAAGTATCCATTTTGCAGCTATGGAAATGAAGCCCAGGCAGGAGAGGGAAGCGGCTGAGGTCTCAGAGCTACCAAGCAAGGAGGGGTAGGATTTGTCCCCAGGCCTGTGTGACTCCAGGCTCCTGGTTCTGATCCTCGCTTGGAACCCCCCTGGATCTGCTTCTGACTTGTGGTCCCGCAGAACATCCCATCAACAGGAGGAAATGACCAGCCCTCACTATGGTGTGCACTCACCCTCATACAGCAGGCATGGCTGTGCACCCACGAATGGAATGAGGGGAACAGTTGCCAGCCCTCACCCCTTTGCGATACCCCAACCTCGCCTCCAGCAATGGGGTTCAGACATTGAACACCTGACAGCTCACGGACCCCAGCCTGGGACGTGGCCCCGGAGTGAACAACAGCAGCAGAACAAGCTGACGTCACAGAAATCCAAACTCCGTCACAGTTCCAGCCCCGAGCATTCAGCCTGTACTAGCATTTGTGGATGGGGCTGCTGTCAGGATCAGACATAGTAAACCATGGCTCCCTGGTCTGCTCCCTGATCACCAATTCTGCAAGAAACCCACACACAGGCAGGCAGAAGTCTTTTGTCCCTTGGAAAATGGCCTCAAAATGCAAATCCAGGGCTTGACCAGTGCTCTGGCAGTTTCTGAACATTCTGTGATTTGCAATTTTGTTTTGGATCTCCAGGCACATTACTGGCTATCCCCTCTCTGA